CATTCGAGAAAACAGACAACTGATTCAAAGCTTCCTCATGGGAGTAAGAAATGATGAATTAGGGGTAAAGTTACTTGAAGAAAACTTCGATAACTTAACTAACGCAGTAGAAGCTGCAGCAAGGCATTGCAAAGCGCTGCAAACGCGCAGATACATCAGAAAAGAAAGCGAAGCTCAAGTACTTGAAAAAGTCTATCAAGTGTCGTGTGCAAATTGCAATTGTACTAACAACAAAAGCTCTGATCCAGACACTGTAAACGCGGTAATGACTGCGGGGAGAAATAGAAATCAACAATTCCATCCGCCTGTAATGCAGCATATGAAAAATACGGATGATCAAACGCCGTACGGTCAACAATTACCGACAAATAGCAGAGCACAACAGGGAGAAATGCAACCCTACTTCCAAACCTCAGACCGTCAACACCGAAGACAGTATACTGATAAACGGAACATTCAATGTTACCAGTGCAGAAAATACGGTCATTACAGAAGTGAATGTTGGGATCTAATGAAATATCAGTCACAGCCACAGCAGAGACCATACTGCACATACTGCGGCAAAAGTGGTCATACAGAAGCAAAATGCTGGAATCTCAATAGACCTAGTCCCGATCAAAATAGAACTCAAACCAATCAGAGTTACGTTCAAAACCAGACAGCTCAAAATCCACAAGCGCCTACCACGAACCCTTTTCGGTCAAACTAGATAAGAGGAACAAGAGTAAACATAAAGTAACCTCTTGTAGAAGTATTAATATTGACAGTTGTTTGCATGCAAAATCAATTAGAAAACAAGCATGCAATTCAAAACACAGATCGTACGTGAAAGCTCAATTATTTAACACGTACGTTTATGCATTGGTAGATTCAGGATCTACACTCTCTTTAGTACGGAGCGAAATAGTCCCTAAAGAGGAATTAGTAAACATGGAGGATTATAACGGCCAAATAGTTGGTGCCGAAGGATCCAAACTAAATGTTTTGGGATCTATAAAGAAGCAAATTCAAATTGCTAACAAAACGTTCAACGCTACTCTAATAGTAGTGCAGAACCTGCAAGAGCCCATACTCATTGGTACAGATTTCATGATAGATAATAGATGTATTCTGAATTTTTCAGCAATGTCGTTTCAATTAGACGACGATATTAAGGTCCCCTTGTTCCAAGTTCAGAACAAGACAAATCCAGAGCTCAAAGTTCTGCTAAGCAAAACTATACAGATACCTGCGAGAACCACGGTGCATAACGTGCACTGTAGAGTGAAGAGTAAACGATCCAACAAACAGAAATACTGTTCGTACACTGGCATATACGAGCCATGCGAAGGTCTTCTCGCAAAGAAGTATAAAATATCCTCGAAAGATTCGCTCGTGAATCTTAAAAAAGGCAAGACGCATATCGACCTTGTAAACCCGAATGATTACACGGTAATCATATACAGGAATCAAACAGTTGGTTCCTTGAAATCGATTGATACTAACACGGTGAACCTTGTTACAAGTATTACAGATTCAGCATGTAACAATGTATCGGATTGCTACAATACATCGGAGGAGAATAATCCAATCAAAAACAACAATGATCAAGATCTGTTTAAGAAGCTTAAACTAGATGAAATAAATCACCTCACGAAAGCACAATTATCTGAGCTCAAGAAGCTCGTTGCTAAATACCGTGAAGTATTCGCGATAAATGAAGGAGGAATTATCAAACCTGCGAAGATAAAACCGCACAAGATAATACTGGATACTAACAAGCCTATAAGGGCGCCGTTCAGACCCATAGCCTTGGCACTAAGACCACATGCTGAGAAGGAAATAAAACGGCTAATGGACTTAGATATAATTGAAGCATCCAACTCGCCATATCATTCTCCAGCCTTCTTGATTGCAAAAAAGGGCGCAAAAGGTGACAACACCAAATTTCGCTTAATTTCAGACCTAAGACTTGTCAATAAGCACGTGATACGATCATTCCAGCCGTTACCAGATATGGACACCACGACAAGTTTGTGGCACGGCTGCAAGTTGTGGTCAAGCCTTGATATGTCACAAGGATATTTCCAACTAGAATTGCACGAAGACAGCCGTCACATAACATCCAGCTCAATACCTGGAGTGGCGAAGTTCCAATACAAAAGGATTCCATTGGGATTATCAAGCTCAAGCTCCCATTTTCAAGGCGAAATTGAGAATCTGTTTCTAGGATTGAAATCGATAAAATTGGTTCAATACCTCGACGACCTAGCAACAGCGTCAAAATCATTTGAAGAGATGATTAAAAATCTTGAACTCATCTTTGAACGATTAAGTTCAGTTGGCCTTGTTTTGAAACCTGAGAAAACGAGATTGTGTCAAACAGAAATCATGTGGTTGGGTCACCAGATATCCGAAAAAGGTGTGCAAATGAATCCCGAAAAAATCGAAGGGATCACCAAGATGAGTACACCGAGAACTAAGAAGCAAGTCAAAAGTTTTGTATCTATGTGTTCATTTTACCGCAAGTTCGTGAGATCATTCAGCGAAGTTAGCAGACCTTTAACTGAAATGTTAAAAAACCATGTAAAATTCAGATGGGGTCCCGAACAACAAGATGCGTTCGATTCTCTGAAGCAGAAAATCGTAGAGTGTCCAATTCTTCAATTCCCAGATTTAAGTAAGGAATTTACACTCAGAACAGACGCGAGTAGTTATTGCATCGGCGCCATATTAGCGCAAAAGGGTGAAGATGGTTTCCATCATCCAATAGCTTTCGGTTCAAACTTATTATCGCCATCCCAAATAAATTGGTCAGTGTGGCAAAAAGAGTTCTACGCGATGAAATTCTATTGCGAAAAGTTTAGAGTATTTTTACTCAACAAATCGTTTCTCATTCAAACTGATCATAAACCACTATTATCATGGGAAACCTCAAGACACATGGAAGGACCTCTATGGAGATGGTACCAAACTCTGAGTCAATTCCAGTTCGTAGTCGAACATATAAGCGGCGGCAAAAATACTGCAGATTGCCCCAGTAGAATACCAAGGCAAAATGATGAAGAATTTGAAAACTACGATAAAAAGGTGAAGTTTGAAAACGCTCCGATAGAAGAGAAACCTGCCACATCTACTAAGAATATAACCACTGCAAATAACATCACAGTTGAACCAGTACCGCAGAGTGATGCAATAAACTCAGTATTACATAATGTAAACACACCAGAAGGTGAGGAGCGTCCGAAAACACTTCCCGGAGACAGTCCGAGCGAAAGTGACATTCAAAATAACACGCCGAAAGAGCAGTCAACAAGCTTTCAAATCATTGAAAAAACTGTCTTGTTGGAAGCGCAGAAAAATGACCCTGTGCTGTCAGTTGTGAGAAAATGGGTAGGAGAGGGAAAACGCCCAAAAACTTCGAATAAAACTCAGAAACTAAACCCTGACCTGAAGAATTATCGGACATCTTTTGATAGATTGAAAATAATAGACAATGTTTTGTACAGAAGCTGGGAGTCAAACAGTAACGCTGAACCAATATGGTTGATATGCTTACCCGAATATTATCACGAAACAGTCATAAAATTCTGTCACGATCTTCCCGCTTCAGGGCATCTCGGTATTTACAAAACTTTAGGAAGAATCAGAGAACGATTCTATTTCCCAAAATGTGAGTTACAAGTATCGTTATATATCGGTCGATGCCGACAATGCACTTTAAAAAGCCAGAAAAAGAAACCGAAAGCGCCTTTATCACCATTTTATGGAACCCACCCCAATGATATCATATCGTTCGATCTTCTGGGTCCGTTGCCAGATAATAAAGAAAAGTACACTATGATATTAGTCATCATTGACAAGTTCACCGGTTGGGCAGAAGCTGTTCCACTGAAAACAACAACAAGTGCAGTGATAGCACAAACATTGCTAGACACCTGGATTTCTAGGAATGGGCTACCTAATCAATGTCACCCACTGCGAGCTCTTCAGTCGTTACGTCACATGCGCGTCTACAAAAACATTCTCGCGCGATACAATTACGTCAAGCTACTTCCTAGGTAGGTTTGTCACAATTTCGGCCGCGCTATATACAGTTACACGTACAACTACAAACACGTACAAACTGCGCGTCGAATTCAGAATTATCATAATATAATATGTTTTTTTGTATTACAAATTAATTATTAAGTATTATACATGACATTAGTCCTGGGGAGCCCTGGCAAATACATATATGTTCATGTGCATGATCAAGTTAATAGAGATTAGGCGGAATGACAGGCTGCAGGCTGAGCACCGCCCAGTAAATACATGAAAATGTTAATTGCTTTTTAATTTATAGATCGACAGTTCACTTTCGACTAATATACTATATTAAATCGATTCGTTATATAATACATTATATAAACTTAAAACAGTGAAGTGGAAAAATATTGCAAGTGCAGGTGATTTTTGTCTTCAAACTAAACTTTTACATTGTATGTTATAGTGTATTTATGATTTACTAAAAACGTAAACTTGCGGATGAAAATTGTATCCCTTAATAACAAATAAACCCCTATTACATTATACATCAAAGGAATAATATTATTGAGTAGAGTCACACTATAAAAAGTTTTAGGCAAATGGCCACTTTTAGCAAAAGTTATATGTTATAGCATATAGCCTGTCAAAGTCCATAAAATGATCACTTCAGAAAACGGGGCGGAGAACCGTGTTTTTTAAATTTTTGACAAATATTTTTGACAGCATATTGTTTATCACATTTTTTTACATAAGATTAGTCCTATGTCGTAATTTTTGTGTTTAATATTTGAATCTAAAATAATTATTATTTGGATTTTAAAGTACACGCTACGCCGCGCACTTTACTTGGAAGTGAAAAGATTTAATTCGATTTTTTTGGAAGCGCGTATATTTCTACGCAATTCAACACGTGCACCGTCTAATCTCGTTCTGCTGTTGCTCCCTTGTTTCCTTTTAGCATCCCTTGTCACACGCTTTAATTTGTCCGAAAGTAACTGTATTATTGCACATTGCGATTATGTTATTAAGTAATCGCTAGAGGGTATTTAGTGCTACTGAATTAGTGGAACTGTTAGTGGAACTGTTAGTGGAACTGTGTACTAATCTTGTAGATTGATTTTTCTAATTATAGTATAGCTTCAAGCAGTGAACCAGAATTTTCGAGATTAAATTAAGTAAAACAAATATCATTATTACTAGCTGAACCAGAATTTCCCTTGGGATGAAATGCTTTCCTGACGAAGGTTCTTGTATGCTGGCATGATAACAACCGATTATATGGGCTGAAAGTGGAATATGTGAGTACTTTTTTTTTCAGCGGACACATTCCCGTATCGAGCTGCCTCGGAGCGTGGTTTTTCTGCTATGGTTCATCGCAAATTTGATCGCCGAGTTTCTCTCCTGTATCCCCCCTGAGATTTTAAATCAAGACATTCTTGTTGCGATATTATTCATCTACAACATTCCGAACTATTTTCTACTAGTTCTTAGCCGTGAAAGTGGAGGCAGAGCAAAGCTGGTAGACTGTTTTGACACAGCAGCACCGTAACACTGGATAACTCTTAACGGCGGATTTAACAGTTTTCTGGACTGAATCTAGCTCTAAAGTTGTTATGTCCAATAGTTCTCCTTGCAACTGAATTACTGATTTCTGAGTATTCATTTCCTCTCTAACTTTATTCGCTGATAGAAAAGTACTATGACCCCACCACAATATCAGCCTTGTTGCCTTCCAGGATGTCCCGAGTACCAAGGTGATATCTACAAATAAATTGCCGTCTCTGATATAGTGATACTTTGTTGGCTGAGCAGTAATCATTTCCTTCATTTTTACAACAATTTTCTGGTGAGCTGCTTTCTCCTCTCTATTTCTGTCAGGTGTGATGTACCATTTGTGGTACGCTGCATAATTAGATTTCTTCGGATTTCTTGCTCGAGCAAGAACCATTTTGACTGATTCCGTGCAAGCCAATGTCACTTTTATCGGTCTCGGTTTACCACTATCTGCAGGTTTTTTAATCCCGATCAAACTTGCTGCCACCACTTTAGGATCACACCCCGATGATTCCCAAATTTTGGTTATCACTTCTTTTGCCACTATATGTGGATCACAATTTTCCACAGAGAAGTCCATTGTACAAAGTACAAAAGAATGCTTGCAACAGTGTCTCCCAGTCGGTTGTGTCTGCTGTGGTGGTGGTGATGGGCTAGGCGTCTAAGGGTCCCTCAAGCAAGGTCTTCTTAGCAAACGCCAGGATTTCTATCGGGTTGGTGGTTAGTATGTCCAAGTTTAAGTCAGATTTTCCGAAGATTTCTTCTCTCGTCCTGATCGTTGCAGGGCACCGAATCCAGTGTGGTACTGCAACTGTTTCTTCTTCTTCTCCGCAACGGGGACAAGTTGCACTCTTTGTAGAGTCGATCCTATTTTTGTAGTGGGACAGGTGAAGGCAATGGCCTGCTCTGAGTTGTGCTGGCAGCGCTCCGTCTTTCCTGCTCTCTATTTTACTGTCCGCTCTTTTTCTGTTGTATCCCTTGTAAGTCTGGGAGACCAGGTGGTGTTGGGGGTCGCTATCCTTGATGTGAGCCTTCGCTACTGCTCTGGCTACTCCGTATGAGATTGTAGACTGTCCTTGGCCCAGGTCCGGGAGTTGTGCTGCTTCCTTTGCTGCTTGGTCAGCGTATTCGTTCCCAGGAATGTTGGAGTGGCCGGGAATCCAGTGCAGGTACGTCGTCCCATGGAGTGATTCCAGAGTTTTCCTGATATTCTGTGTGTCTGGGTTCAGGCTATCGATGCTAGTCAGTAATGCCTGGCTAGTGGCTATCAGAGCATATGATGGTGTCATCTGAATACTTCTGCTTCTCTGTCATCCATTTCAGGGCTTCCGTAAGTGCAGTTTTCTCCTCACCATAGGAACAGGTGAACTTATTTCCCTTCTTTTTGATGGTCTCCACTATAACGGGGTTAGCTGCTGACCCTGTGGTGATAACTGCTGCTGCTCCACCTTCCTTGGTTCCACCTTTACATGATCCGTCAGTATAGATGGTAGTACATATGTCGTACTTGTCGATCATTCTGATAGCACTTTGGGCGGTCAGTCTTTTGGCAGAGCTTTCGTTAGCTGTATCGCTTGTGTCCCAGAAAGTGTCTCTTGGTCGTGTGGAGAAAGGGTGTTGGTTGTTAGGCACAGCTGGATGGGATTTGGGTACTAGCATAGGAGTCTCTGGGAGTGCTGTGAACACTTTCCAGTTCCTTTTCCTCTGTTCTTCTGAAAGGGCTTCTACGGGATTTCCGTGAGTTGGTAGTTGCCCTCTGGTGGAGTTAGTTTTCTCTCTCCAGGAACTACGGATCTTGCTTCTGTGGATGGTAGGTGTTTTAGGGCGTAGTGCTGTGTGCCTTGGATGATCTGAAGGGAGTCGGTCTGCTTTTCCTGCAGCAATAGTGATGATTCGCTCACTATGAGTATGTGTCTTGTAGCTTTCAACTTCAGCTTCGATTCTTAGCGCTTCTGTAGGTGTTGAGTGTTGACGAGTATTGACCAGTGACTAGCCTCAGGGCTTTGTTCTGTGCTTTTTCTAGCTTGTTGAGTTGAGTAGCAGATAGCCATGGTTGCCAAGCAGCTGCAGCATAATCAAGTACGCTCCTCTGGGTAGCAATGTACACCCTCCGTAGGTTTTCTTTCCTCCAGCCCCACTGTTTTCCTGCCAGGGACGCCAGTATCTTACAGCGTTCAGAGACTTTCTTGGTCACTTCAGTGACATGCTGTTGAAATGACAGTGTTCGGTCCATATGAACCCCAAGGAACTTTGGGCTAGCGTTGAACGGGATAGGTGTTACATCCAGGTTCAAGGAAGGTCTCCACTTTGCTTCATTAGTAGCTGGAGTGAAGAACGTAGCTTCACTTTTATCTACATTGAGCATCATATTTTTCCTGTTGCTCCATTCCTGTACTTAATCAAGAGCTAGCTGAACTTGTTTGTTGGCTTTGTTGAGATCGATGTCTGATGCCCACAGGGAGGCATCATCTGCAAACAGAGCTAGCTCTACTCCTTCTGCTCTGGGATCACTTCACTTATGCTGTTTATATAGAAGAGGAAAAGCAGAGGGGATGATACTGCACCCTGGGGGAGACCCTGTCTCATAAAGACTCGCTTGCTGAATGCTCCGTTGTAGAGGACTTGGGCTGTTCTTTCTTTGAGGAATGCTCTGAACCAGCGTATGATTTGGGCAGGAACACCTGTATCAAGCAGGGTGTGGAAAAGTTCCTGCTGCCATACCCTGTCATACGCCTTAGAATAGTCCAACATCGCTAGTACTGTCCGCTGAGGCCTGAGCAGGTTTTTTCTGGAATCCGTCGCTTATACCTTGAGATATGCGGATCACCTGGTCCTCAGTACTTTCTGCCCCACTTCTCGACGTAGGAGGTTAAGATTCTTTGCCTTAGCTCTTATATCACTATTCATCCAGCTATCTTTGTTTTTAGGGGATGTTTTCCCGACATGGTTGTAGCCAGCTTGTACTAAGATCTTGTTGAACTTGGCTACCTTTTTGCTGAAATTTTCGGGAGCGTCTGTGGTCACGTCTGCTGTTGACAAAGCCTGCTGTTGAAAAAGCCTCCTTTCTTGCAAATAGGAATGTGGTTGTAGGTGTTATCTTTGCCACAAATGCATTTCTTGGCTATGTTGGCAATGGGTAGAGCGTATCTCAGTGCTATAGCGTCTTTGGACCCTTGCTTGTTCAAGACAAATCCGTACTTCTCATAAGGTAGTCCGGTCAGCCTGTTGATGCACCTTTTTCACATGCATGTGGGATCTTCTCACTGATCGAAGGTGGAAGATCGTTCATCAGCTGGTTTTTGAGTGACTCATACCTCTTGGCATGAGACAGGCTAATGGCAGACTTGACTGCTTTCCCAGCCTCTCTGTTGGTATTGAGAGTGGTGTGTTGCAATTTTGTCTGGTTCTAACGCGAGTCCCGAAAGCTCTGCGTGTGAACATCTGGCCTACCAAGTAAATTATTTGTCGAACTTGAGTAAGTTAACCTTTCGACCAAACATAGGATATTTTCAAGAACCACAAGATATCAACTCTTTGTATCTTCAAGTACTAGTAATTTTTGGTTAGATCCTCATAAGAAGTTTACATCGCAAGCACTTTCGGATTGATAAATTTTAAATTACTGGCGCGCAATAAACGCGCGCACAGCAGAGTGTCCGAATTTATTACCGTTCAAAATTTTATGTGTATTTTACGATTTGAAATGATGTAGTTTGTCCGCTACTGTATTAGTTGAAACCTTATCTGTTCCAGGTGAAGCTAAAGGAATGTTTTATCTCTATAATCACTAATGATATCCGCTGTGCGAGAGCCGTGGATAGTGAGGGGTCTGAGACAGTGAGACATGCACTCCGTATTAACCGGTGGGTCATTTTCAAGTTAGTTTATGTTCAATTCTTGTCTCCAAATCTTTATTCAGTTATTAAATTAATGTTCCAATTGTATCTAGTCTATATATGTTCAATAATTCATGATTCCAATTGACTATTGTTTCTTATCGTCAGGAAACTAACGTTCGAAGAAAAAAAGAATATCCAGACTCAACACTGACAACACTCTTGGAGTATTCAAAGACAGGACAACACTTGTTATGCTCCAGCTCTACAAATCCCTGATAAGGTCCAGAGTGGAGTACTGCTGCCCGCTTTGGAATCAAAACAAGATCTATGATGTCCAGTCTTTCGAGAGCATACAACGCTAGTTCACCAGACGGATTCTAGGGCTCTAGAGACACCGATTAAATGGAATAGACTGAAGGAACTGAAACTTACATCACTGCAAAGACGCCGAGAACGCTACACCATCATACATCTGTGGAAAGTTCTCCAGGGAATATGTCCAAATGTTCTAGATGTACAGTTCAGAGAGAATGCCAGACTGGGAGTTAAAGTTATACTCCCTTCTCTCACCAAACAAGCATCAGCTGCTACACGCTCCACCTACGACCATTCTGTTCTCCCCAAAATTGTCAATACTCAAAGGACTTTGACAAGCTTCAAGACATCTCTTGGAAACTTCCTAGACACCCTTCCAGAATCCAGACAAGCCCCTACTCCTGGATACAGTGCAGAAAACTCGATTTCTACAGACATAGCGGAGTTCTACAGTTACTAGCTACGAGTCCACATGGATCGAGATCTCATCAATCCTACCTTCGCTCACTACAAATGGACTCCACCAAGATGCTGCTTCCCCGGAGTTCAACATAGCTGAAGGATTGCTCCACGGCCTCTACTGCACTCAATGTTATCCTTTTCAAACCTTACTATCTGGAAATTTCTGGACTGTCTGAAGGCGGAGCAGGACATAACATATGTGAAACTCACGAAGAGACTGTGCAGAGAACGTCCTAGCCGAGGAGCAGCAAAGTGGATCTTAAGTATGACGAGAGACTGCAGACTGTTAACTTGATTTTCTTAAAGTTATTGGATGTATGATTTGAATTTATGATATAATGAATTTGTGATTTAAATTTATTAACATGACTTTCAAATTGATAATCTCTCTTGGTGAAGAATATAATAATTTTTTTTTTATCTAGACACTTATTTTACTTCGGTGTATTCCAACAGCCACAATGTTACACAAGTGCAACCAGCCAATTACAGGAAGCCGAAGGATCTTTTTTTGGCCAGTGACGGTTAAGGTAGTGTGTACCATACTTTCTTCGTCCGAGACTTTGCTGCAATGTGCAGCTCCTCATTTAACCCTCACACCCGATTTCTCGAGTATTCGGCTGAGTAGACCGGGGGGCTGCATAGACCACTCATGATCCTTAGCTGAACGTCGACGACGCTCACCCCACGACCAGGCAGTCAGTGGGTTTCGAACTCGCAACCTAACGATTGTAAGACAGGCGTTCTAACCAACAGGCGTTCTAACCAACTGCGCTACCTGGCCGCTAATAATTTGTATAATTTGTAAAGTTCGTAGATTCCTCTACAGGGTCATCGAATAGTTCGACCGCCCTTGTTTAACAGTACACTACATTGTAGATGTTCTGAAGGAGTATCCTAAGATTCTTGATCTTCTGGCACAGGCACCCCTCCTCATTTAACCCTCAATCAAGTTTCCTATCATTCGGTTGAGTCGACCGAGGAGATCACATAGATCCAATGAATCCTTAGCTACTTACTAGACTGAGTAAAACTGGGATTCTAACCCTGAACCTTCTGTACAGAAGGCAGAAGCTCTAACCACTAGGCCACCCAGCCATTGAGAAAAATTGGGGGAAATTCAACTAAGCGTCGCTTATTTTCGGTACTGCTTGTCCCCGTTGACTAACCGACGTGTTACCACACTTAGTATTTAGGCTTCATGCAGAGAAAAGCATGTCAAGACGATAATCCCGCTTAGGCCATATTACAATTCAAATACACGATGCAACGAATTTTGAGGCCATGCCTTGGCCTTGTTCATACAAGTTGTATATCCTACTGGAGAACTAAAGCAATATTGGGCCGCATTCTTTGTTGGCACCGCGATCATTTCCTATTCTAACATACATAGCATAACATAGGTAAGCAAGCAACACCACGATTTTCTCGTAAAATCGGTAATATTTCTGTATTTAATGTAGAGCCGGGCGCTAGATCACAGATACCCCTAGATATGCACAATCTTTGATCCATCTAGGGTCGCCCCTGAAATTGGAGATACGCTCTCTAAGGCATGCTACCATCTTATTTCACAATTGCCTGTAGGGAGGTACCCCAAAAATTTCCTCTTTAACTAACAGTTGCACTGCCACCAGACAGGAGGGTGTAAAATGCAGCTCTGATTTGAAGAAATCAATATGACTGAAGACTCTTATAAAGCTAATTTGTAGCGGTTGCATCGGCAATCTGTTCAGCCGACAACCACTACATTTATTGATTACGAGCTGTGCTAATCGATAAAGGATTCCAATGTTGTAGTGTCAGAGTCAGTAAATTAACGCATGCTACCCTAAATTAACGCATGCTACCGGCCCTGTACCCCAATACACAAGATGTCCTCAGACCTCATCATTGATTCTCCAGTAAATTTAACGACATTACTTCGGAGTATTCCAACAGCCACATTGTTACACACGTGCAACCAGCCAATTGCAGGAAGCCGAAGGATTAATTTTGGCCAGTGACGGTTAAACTTAAAGTAGTGTGTACCGTACTTCGCCCGAGACTGCTGCAATGTGCAGCTCCTCATTTAACCCTCACTTCCGATTTCCCGAGTATTCGGCTGATAGAATATAGCGGGGGCTACATAGACCACTCAGGATCCTTAGCTGAACGTCAACGACGCTCACCCCACAACCAGGCAGACAGTGGGATTTGAACTCGTAACCTCGCGGTTGCAAAGCTGACGTTCTAACCAACTGCGCTACCTCGCCGTTGCGATCAAGGAGCCTTCCCCTCATTTCCAAATATAGTCATACGTGACGTCATAACCATGGCGACGCATAGTAACCCATAGAGACGCGCAAGTTATTTTAATATGGTTTTATTTTATTCGCTGCGCGGTGTAAATATTTATTTTGACCAGTTATTTAGTCATAACTTTTTATAGGAAACTGCGCTAGGTTGCGCTTTTCTTGCGACATCCGATTTGGCGTTTTTCCTATCGGATGGTATATAATTTGGCCACAGCGCAAGAATCGCACGATAATCTTATTTCTATGAACAGCTTGAGCCGGGCATTCCGACAGAGGTCCACAATTCACCTCAGAGGTGCTCAGTATTGTATTTAAATTGCTAGGAATGATTTATCATTCTCATACTTGTGCATACACTCCGAAATCGAACGGAGGAAGTGAGGCGATGGTAAAAATTGTTAAAAACATGCTCAAAAGCTTTTGTGCTGAACAGCCACAAACTTGGCCTCAAATGTTGCAACAAGTAATGTTCGCCTATAGAACGTCAAAATCAAAAGTCACAGGATTTAGTCCCCAATTCCTACACGCAGGCCAACTTGCCAAGCAACCCATGGACATCATTTTCGGGACATTCCCTCAAAAGAAATTTGAGACACAAAGTGAATATGCTTACGAATTGTACAAATTGCTCCGATCGACCTATAGATGGGTTGAACTCCATCTAAAAGAGAGCAGAGAAATTGCAAAGCAACAGTATGACAACAGAGTGAACATTAAGCAGTTTGAACCGGGAAACTGGGTTTACTTGTGGCGCCCGAGAAGAAAGGGACAGCACGCCTTTATGTCCAACTTTTATGGACCATTCCGAATCTTGTCAAAAGTAGGAGATTACGTTTACAAACTTGACACAGGAAATTCGAGAATACATCCAATAGTGCCACATGATCTTTTAAGACTGGAGCCAAACGGTGAAGACGTGGCTACACGAAACTTCGATCCTCCAGAACAACTAGAGTGGGATCATGAATTCAAGTTCCCTGAAATGGAAACTGAAGAGGCTGACCTACAAGAATTGAATAATCCTCTACCTGAAAATGACATTAATCGGCAAATTGAAGATCCAGATGATGGACGACCGGTAATACAAGTTGATGGCTTGGTTTTGCCCGCACAACCTGAAAATCACGCACGTCCTGTTCGGATAAGAAATCAACCTGATAGATACCCAGGATATATAGTCGAAGACAACCAAAATTAAATTGTGCCACGATTACTATTAGTCACATTTATCATACCGTCCGTGACTTAGAAGTCAGGTGTGAACAAGAACCAGCGCAGCCAGAATGCAGCAGATTTGGTACATTCCGTCACCTTATCTAGGTCATTTTTATAAACCTCCTTTTTGTCAATTATTGTGGAGAATAACAGTCACCACTTCTGCTTCTGCAGAATTCTTGGAACCACGTAAAGTGGTCAGCATAAAGTGTATTATAGCTGTAAAAGAAATTGTTCAGTAAAGAAGAAGTTGCTAAAAGTTTTAAAATTGTAACAAGGGATGTTGTAATTATGGACGTCTTCTTGGCTAGCAACAACTAAATATGCTTGCTGTGATTAAGGCGATGGTAACAGTTTACTAAAAGTGCATATGAACTCCAAAGTTCACACATGAAACAAGACGAAAACAAACTGTTAAATGCATGTCAGAATCGTGTTGAAACAAAGAAAACAAAATTTGTTTACTACAACTCCGTGGTAACAATTACTTGCTATTAATAGCGAACTTGTTCCTTATAAGCGTCTTATCGACTAACCACGGGGGTTGTACTTGTCTGCTTATCAAAGAAAGTGAACAATAAGTGAACAACAAAAGCATACAAACACGTGCCAAGCGCCGCCGATATAGCACTATTATCAATAGAGAACAATTTCAAATTGTGTCATTTCTGATCTCAATTTTTCCAAGCCGCGTTGGCTTCATAGCAGAAACCTAAAGTATAAAAAGCAAGTTGTGACGATATCCGCAACAAATCAATACGGCACAGTTGTGACGACTCCCCACAACGTAAGCGATCATGCGACATCAAATTGTCATCTGGATAGCACTGTTCATGTTGCTATCACTAGCAACGGCAGAAAAACCAAAAGCAGAGGCCACTATGCCAAACTCGATAATACTTGAGAATTATGGAATAATGCTCAAGCCCCAAGGGTACATAACGTTCAGCACAAACAACATGCTATCATTATTCAGAAAAGTGAAACTTCCGAATATGTCACAGTTTCTGAACTGTAAAAACGATGTGCAACAAAAGTTCAACAATGAGATCCGAAAAACCACTTTAGAATATGTTAAGCTATTCGACAACATAGCACGGCCCATGCCAAAATCAAATGAAACCAGGTCAAATAGAAACAAAAGAGGTATCCTCGCATTTGGCATTGGTCTAGGTATCGTTGATCTAGTACTAGGGGGCATAAGTTACGGAACCCTAAAACACCATATTGATAAACTGGACAGCAAGTTCAGCGATTTTATCACCAAACAGCACCAGTTCGATGAAAACGTGATTGAATGGGACGATCAGCTGATTTCAATGATCGGAAAGTCGCAGGAAGACATTGACGCAAAATTCCAAATGGTACAGTGCCAAATACTTGAAACCACTGGAGATCTGCTTGCAATGCAGTACGTGGACAGATGGGTTAACACTCTGGACAATTTGTTCAAACCTCTTACTAAGGGTCGTCTGAGATCGCAATTAACACCTAAAATTGTCAAACCGGAAGACCTCAACCTGGTCTTAATAGAACACCCAATGCTCAAAGGATCAGTTTACTCCGAAAACGTGTACAACTTTTACAAAGTTGCTACTATTTCTGTCGTACAAGCACACTTCGATATTTATTCCAATACGTTAAATGTGCATCAAGTTATAGAATATCCAGCGCTCAAACCTCAACATCTATTCCCAATGTACATTACCCGTCAAGTTGGAATAATTAAAAATCATGTTTGCCTACTGTTCGAGATACCCAAATTGATATATTCTATAAACGACAAATTTTATGCCGTAGACGAAACAAATTGTGTTGTTTCAGACACAGTCACAACGTGTTTCGCGGAAATATTTGACAATAGCGAACAAACTAGCTGCTTGACAAACTTAACGAGTTGTAAGGTAGTAGAAACACAATGTTCCCCGAAGTACATATACGATGCTAGCGGCATATTAATAGGCACCGCGGTTCACGACATACAGGTCTTCGAAAAGAATGACAATAAGAAGGGAATGAAACTCCTAAAACCTAACAAGTATGGAACAAAATTCATACCATGGAGAGGAGTTTCTTATATACAAATGGAGGGACTACTCGTGGAGGAACCTAACTACATTTCGACAAACATCATATACAATGGCTCAAACGTGGCTCTTACTTCTTGGGACAAACGACTGAGCACCTCGGTCGAGAACATAACACGACTGAAAGAATCCCTCGAACGGCTCGTAGTACCGGAAGCTCAGAAGAAAACTATCTCTTGGGTACACGGCATCCTGTTAACAGTAACAGTAGGAGTCATACTGTGTGCAAGTGTCGCTTGTCTCTACTGTATCATAACTCACCAATTGAAAGATCAGTATCTGCGGGCACCTAATAATGAACAGGAACAACCCAACAGTCTCCAGACCCAGGGTGGTCAACCGAATGAAGATATTGTCATTCAATAACTGCACGCGATAACTGCTATCACACTGAAACAAGGCTGCCAACAAGCAGAAGTTTCTGTGAAGCATGCTTACATGCAGAGGAGACGCTTACCGTCTTGTCCATCGCTATGTCACTCTTAGATCTGCTGTTCCACTTTCAAGTTCGTATCACTATATATATATTCTATCTGCCACGATGAGTTCCGCATCTAAACTGCCTATGGAACAGGTAGTGTCTGTCACAGTTGACAACGACTCCGATGATAACCTAAGAAGATCGCCCCCTTCTTCCTCCTCCTCCTCCTCCTCCTCCTCCTCCTCAGACGATTGTGCCGTACTTAGAGAAAAAAAGAGGAAACTAGAGAAAAAACTAAGAAAAAAAGAAAAAACACCAAAGGCAGATAAAAAGCACCACAATAAATCACGTAGAAGCATCACCATGGCAGCGGCCAATAGTCAAATGGCCGAGAGACTATCGAAACTGGAAAGACGAGTCGAGAAAATGGCCAACCATTTGAAGGCGAACTTTTGCAGCTTCTGCAAAAAACACGGTCACACTGCAGAAGATTGTAGAAGGAGAAGGGCCGTACAACCTAGAACAACGATGAACTTCTAGGAACCGGAAGGAGCGAAGACGAGGGATCATATGGACATTTCTCTCGAACATTTTTTAATTTTAATTTATATTATAGTTGCATTGTATAGTTGTATTTCTATTGATTGATTGTATTTGTCGTTATATGTTAGTGTTCATCGTGCATATGGCCCTAGCCACCCCTGGTCCGCCAGAGGCAGTGTTAAAAAAAAGAGGGGCCTATGTTCCATGGATACTAAAATGTAAATTATTTTATTATAAAGTAGTTGAATTGTATTATATGTTTGTGTATTTTTTAATTTGTATGTCTGTACATAGCTCCCGGCTGTGCTCCCGACTGGAGGGCCAGTCTTAGAAAAAAGCGGGGGAGTATATGTTGTATGTAAGATATTTGTAGTATAGTTTGTAGTGTATTCTATTATAGTTTAGACGATATTTTATAAACAGACTCTTTAGGTCGGCAGTTACTTCACAAGCAGTTCTGCCGATCAGACCACGCGTTTAAACCACGTGGTTAGTAGTAATTGTTGTTTTGTGTATACGTAGCGGTTGCGTTAGTGATTTTGTGATTATTAAAACAAGTTGTAATATCGAAGACTTCAGTTCTACTTTAGCTCTACTTAAATCGTTTCACTTTGTCAAAACCCAAAGTAACTCATTGTGTGTTCACTATACTCATAAAGTGAACACAACAACTTCCAACTTGCTGTGCGTCTCGACGTATGAACACGCCCCTGCTACTGGCCTGGGATACCCGGTTCCGGGATTTTCAGGCAAGAAACTCAGTTTCTGAGCTGGAGCTGATAAATTCAACCAAATGTTATTACAATGAGCAATTCATTGTTTTGAAAATTGCAGTGAATTGTGGTTACCTTTCAATTCATCAAATTTGTATTTTTACTGTGTCATACTTTCAGTTTCAACCTTTTGTTTTGCCGAACAATTGCCTCGTTACTGTCACCAAGATGTAAATCAGATCGAACGAGAAATTAGATCGAACGAGAAATTATATCGAACGAGAAATTAGATCGAACGAGTAATTAGATCGAACGGCGTCTCAATTCGATCTGATTTACATCTTGGTGACAGTTACTTCCAATTTTAACTCACTAAATTTTAAGAGCAGTGAGAAACAATAATATATTAACTACTTTCTAACCCCTTTAGGCATTATATTATTTGGAGTCTCGTTCGAACACTAACAGCTGTTTCAACCAGGAGCGAAGCACAAAAGCACTACTTTATACAGGTACTAGAATGCCCGTAGTAACCGGAAGGAAGCTATAGTAGTATTCTTTGGTAGTCAGTTTTCATAGCATGGAAAGATATCCGTCACAACCGAAAATACAGCCGATGAAAATGTAGCTCGTACTTAACACAACGTAATTACTTGACCATTGTTAATGATCAGGCCCGGCGCGCGCTACTTCGTAGCACTTGCACTAACATTTCGAGAAGAAAGCGGCGCGCGCTACTTCGAAGAAATTTAGACGAGTAACATCCGTCAACGTAATTACTAGTAGTAGTAGTACTAAGTCGATAAAATGTCGCTCGCAAATCGTTGTACGTGCGCGTTCAACATCGTTACCAATTACCATCAACCATGGTAACTAAGAACTATGCTTCCTATTTCTCATCTAATTAAGCACGTGGGCGGTCGTACAGACATACATACATACAAAGAGAATCTTAGTTTTATATAGTAGACTAGAAGGGGTACTAGAATGCACGTGGTCACAGGGAGGAAGCTAATAGTATTCTATTGTGATTTTCACGGGAAAATAAGACATTATCGGTTTTGATTATCTTTCAAAGGTATTCCAAGTGATTTGTATAAGTGCATATCTACAATATTATATAGTAATACTGAATACGCTACTAAAGATTTGATCTCGATTCATGAAGTTTGAAAAAAGTTACTGCAATTCGCGAAATTTGGGAAGTACATGCTTTTTAACAGCGCCAGTGGGGGGGGGGGGGGGGGGGGGTCTGCTACACTTATACAAATCACTTCCATGTCCTCTGCGCGCTTCCGTGCCATTTCTATTTCTCAGTGAGAGACTGAGAATCAGAGAGCCATAAAGCTGGGTTAACATGACATTGAGAACAGTTGTTCTATAAAGTAAACACAACACAATTCTGATACTAAACATATCAAACGAGACAGGAATATCACAAAAAGTTTGTAGCATATATTAACAACGAAATATTAATGAATCCAACAAAACATAATTTTTGCACTAACTCTTCCCATGAATTAATCTAATTGATCTTTACTTAACTTGCTAGTCTCTTGCTCGCTTCTCTCCTGTTCAGGAAGCTTGAAAAGAGCGCCGCGCACAGGGACTGGCGTGCCAGGTAAATTGATCTTTTCGGTACCTATTCCATATTCATTGCCTATTCCATATTTCATATAATTCATTGCCACTGACAGGAGGTATAAGGTGCATCTTCAGTTAAAATCTTAAGATTAACATCATGTATCATTCGAAAGCTAAAAATAAACCCGCTCCAAGCTGAATTCGAAATCGAAGGCATTTCTAGCGTACTACACCACCTTCTATTTCACAATTTCATAGTCTGATTGAATTCTACATTCCTGACTTAGTAGTAACAGTCAGCCGAAGAAACACCTTATTTTATAAACTAAACTATATTAAATTATCAAGAAGTGTACAAAATCACGATTATTGACAGTAATTTGACTAGAAAGTAAAACGTAATAATATAGTTAAGTAATTAAATACTCCGTTGAGTGTAAACCGTTTTTGCATCACACATTTCCTGGTGTAATCTGTTTGGAAATTGAATAATATTCATGAACATACATTTATCCAGGGTTGTTACTGCTATCAATTCGGATGGATTTTTAGTCCAGCCAACCCTGGATATGACCATATAAAATGAATTACTATCCCGAAACATAAGCTTTCATCTATCTGATTGTTTCTTGTTTGCGTCAATATCGTAAAACTAAAAACAAAATCTAATCATTCAAAGAAAACCAATACTTTTCGTAAATCACTGGTTTTAGAACTTAGCAAAAGAAATGACATCTAAACAACAGAATAACCGGAGCCTTGATTTAATCGTTTTAAATGACCCACACCAACTCCTGCTCTGAACAAATCTCTTTACTCTGCTGGTCCCCCACAACAACAGGCAGTATCCAAGAAGCCCGACTGACGAGGGTAGACTTTAGGGTAGACAACGTTAAGGTTAGGGATACGGTAGATATTAGTACAAAATAAGCTTCTTAGAAACTGCCAAAACCCTAACGAGAAACTACTGTCTTCTTCTAGTATTAGGAGACGCACCACTCCTGCCCTTTTTAGGTACTGAAAGTGAAGGTTGGGGGTTGGTAGGCGCGCGGCCGGACCTCCCTATTACCAGCCACTTCATCTCCTGGAACTCGCATTGTGCACCTCCCACTGGCTCTCTGATCCTCAATTTAACTTCTACTCTGGGGGAGTAACTGATTTAAGATATGGTTCCTATAATTATCGACAAATAAAGAGTAAAACATTCGAGAGGATTGATTCTTTTATTTATCGAGGAGGGCTACCCTTAGACAAGACGAGAAACTAACAGTTTAAAACGTTAAAAAAATGTAATGGTTTTTGCCAAAAGTTTTGTATAAGGTAGCAAAATCCAAAGTTAAATACAGATCTTATTGGGTTATCAAATGGACAAATCAAACTCCTGAAGTTAAGAACACTGAACATCAATACTAATAATCTAGTCTCAAGATGTGTGTGTGTGTGTGTGTTTTCTGTCTGTGCGTGTGTAATTTCCGAGCGGCTTAAGGGGGGGGGGGGGGGGGGGGGGGGGGGGGGGGGGTAAACAATAGAACTCAATAGGGTTTCAATATGTTTACTGGTTTACATGAAATTTTCAGAATCAACGTAGAATCGCATTTCGACCTTATCTCTTGTATTGAAATTTTGAGTTAGGCCTTTAAAAAAATTTGGCGGCCAAATTCTGAAAAATGCCTGGCAAATTTTGGAATTTGGCCGCCAAATTTTTTTAAAGGCCTAACTCAAAATTTCAATACAAGAGATAAGGTCGAAATGCGATTCTACGTTGATTCTGAAAATTTCATGTAAAAATATTGAAACCCTATTGAGTTCTATTGTTTTGAGCGAAATCAGTTTTGCAAATATCGCGTACTGAGATTTGACCAAAACCCATAATCATGGGTAGAGTGAACCGCTGCCAGTGTCTCTCTTTTCCAAACAAAAGAAAATGATATTAATTTGAGGAACCGTCCGCAAATGCAAATTGATACCGAGAATGAAATCGGTCGCTCGCTTTTCCCATTCAATAAGCTTTATTACAATACGTAAGCCGTGAATGAATGGGAAAAGCGAGCGACCGATTTCATTCTCGGTATCAATTTGCATTTGCGGACGGTTCCTCAAATTAATATCATTTTCTTTTGTTTGGAAAAGAGAGACACTGGCAGCGGTTCACTCTACCCATGATTATGGGTTTTGGTCAAATATCATCTCTTTTTGATTATAATGTCAGGATAATTTACACAGTCGAAACTTAATAAGGAGGTAATTTCAACGATTTCGAAATTTTACCTTTGAAAACGTTTCCTTGTGTTTAGGTAGGCATATCTGTCAATAACAGACTGAATATAGCACTTTTTACTCATTCAAGTTGGCATTAAATTCATATATAATGCCATTTAAATATCGTGGGAAAGCAGAATATATTCGAAATCACGAATGAGCAAAATTCTCACCTTTCGCACGTGCAAACTTTGAGCGGACGTTGCGTGCGCATAAAATATTGAATCACCATAAATGTTTGCATAGTGTTATTTAATATATAGTTTGATAAGCATGAAAAGTTTCAGAAGATTTCAAAAAGAACTTGGATCACAACGGGACTCCAAAGTTGGTAAAAATCGTGAAAATAACAATTTTCAGTGATTTTAGCTATTTTAAATGAATTTGGGCGTGTCCCCACGTGTGCAACTTTTCAATTTTCAACTTTAAAATTAGCCTATAACACAATTTAGACCTTTAGGAAGCAAAATTGAGCTCCACAACCCAAGGGATGGCCCAACACCAGAGAATACTAATTCACAACTTTTGTGTTTTTATAAAATTATTCTTCAAAAAAGCACTAACTTCAATAGCGAATATCTTTATGAAGGAGCAAGGTAGGAAAACTTTCCGGTAGATTTTCAGAATGCTTGAACAATTATCTAAGATGAAAATGTCCTCAGATTTTGAATAAAATTACTCCTTAATGCTTTAAAATCGATTTGAAAAGTTGTTATTTTGTCAAAAATCAAGTTTTAAAAACACTTAAATTGATGACGTCATCAAGTGATGATGATGACAATAAATTATTTTTCGATATAATGTAAACTAAAGTATAAACAATTATCTTTAAAACCTGTGGTTCGAAATGACTGTATCTTTTATACTTTTGAATCTACGGACACTTAAATGTAGGCTACAATTTACTGCAAAAGCGTCTATACATACATATATATATAGCTTCACGACAATCTGTTGTAAAACAGGGGTTCCAGAAAACCCACTTCCCGATACTCCTGCAACATGAAATTTTTTTTACAGTCGATTTGGACAAGGTCTAGACGCTCTGCAAAGTTTCAGATCTCTAACTCAATTTTAACATGGTTTTTAAGGCACCTGAATATGGCGATTTTGGGTTTTTTACCTAATTTCGTATAACATGCTGGCGCGTATTTTGCGCAAATTTCTTAAAAACCTCCACATAACTATTTCTTATTCCTGTCATCTTTAACATTGAATTAGAATGTTTTGAACTTAAATATACCTGCTGAACTACTTTCGATGAGTCTTAATGCCTGGAAAACAATAAAGGGGATATAATAGTATAGGGGGTACATAGTGTTGTGAATATAAGGGCAACGGTTATGCTTGCCAGCATTGTGATATGGACGATTTTGTTCATTTTTTGTAATTATTTGAACACAGAATCCACAGTTAGGTAGATACTGAGCTGATAATCACAGAGAATGTGTAGTATAAGCTCACCTTTCATATAAAGTTGGTTTCATTCAAAAATATTGATATTTGACCAATTTATGGGCCAAAATCGATCAAATTTGGTGCGTATGCCCAAATATGGTCATATGGTTTTTGGCTCATAACTCAGTCATTTTTTGCCCAATCTTGATGAAAATTCATATACTTGTTCAGGGGACCACTAGCTACAAGTAGAGCACATTAAATCTGGGTTTTGGGCATGTTCAGGGTATTTGGCTAAATCGGGCCTAATTTAGACCAAATATGGGCGTGGCTGTCCCGCGGGCACCGTTTGGCGGTTGGGGTCGGGGACCCCCTCAAAAGTTCGGTCACCGGTTCTAGTTTGTTGGTCAACTGCTATCTCGAAACCAAGTTTCACAAAAAAATCAGGGTGAACCCCCCCCCCCTTAATCAAGATAACGGTAAGAGTTACGGGGCTGGTTTTTTCGGTATAGTGCCGAAAAAACTATGAGGAAGCCAAAGGGTAAAGGTTTTTTAAATCGGTCGGTGGTAAATGGTTTATTGATGATGGTTTTGTACCACAAATGTTACATAAAATGGCTTGAGCAGAACGGCAAGAGTTACCGGGCTCGCTCTCTCTCCCATTACTGTATAATGTATATTATGTAGCTGCATAAGTAGCGACATAATTGGGTTAGCCCGGTAAGATTTGCTGTAATGTTATACCATAAGTTTATTAGGGGAGGGGCACTGTTAGTGTTTGAGGTCTGTTTTGGCTGCAGAGAGAGTTCATACAACAATGTTATGCGTGTTTTCAAATATAATAGGCAGGTGTGGTGCGGAGTTAACAAGAGTTAATTTACTTACTTTAAGTGTAATAGTCGGTGTTTGGACCTTATGATCATGGAATGTGGTGCCTAATGGCTAATAATGACTTAATTATCCACGAGAAAGAACTGATTATGAGATTATTGTTTAAGATACTATTGGGTCACCTAATGCAGGTTTTGACTCAGCGGGTAATTACTCCTACCCTTTTTAACTGCGGCAGTGAAATCCCGGCCGAAGGCCGGGTTACACTAGTATCCAATAAAATCACACAACAAAGGTAGCATATTTATGTGAAAGTTTAGTCTACTTTGTCACATACTTGGTAGCAGTTTGTTTTCTGCCATCCAGGAGAGTAACTGCTTCATGAACCTCAGCCAAGTTTTCCCAGTCAGCTAGTTTTACCACCCCACATCCCAGTTCACCTGTAAATAAATTCAAGTTATTTAACTTTACCACCCCACATCCCAGCTCACCTGTAAATAAATTCAAGTTATTTAACTTTACCCAATTTAACACCTCCAAGTTTAATTGATTAATTTGAGATTCACATTTCACATTCTGATCCAGAAATCATGAAATTGTAGCAGAAAATGTGTTTAACAAGAAATATAGTATCTTTAAAATAAAACCGGGGTCATTGATTAGGGCAATTTAATAATCTGTTTTCGCTCTTTTGAGTGGGTCAATCATATAATTGATGTTTTGGGACAAAGTGAGAGTCTCCACTATTTGTTTGAAAAACTGAGTGGAGACTCTCACATTGTCCCAAAACATCAATTACATGATTAGGGCAATTACCGGGTTTCTTTAAGAACCCTCGCTCGTACCAGGCTGTAAACTTAACGTTCCCGCGCTTTATTGCACGTGCAAACGACCGTGAACTCCTGAGATGACGGGAAATATTAACGTCCATCAAAGATAGTAAAACTAACCGTAACGAATTAGCTGAAGACGTAAACAAACAACATTGAATATGGTTGCAATCAGGGGTGTACAAGAGGGGGGGGGGGGGGGGGGGAGGGGCGACCCCCCCAAAAATCTGGACAAGGGGCCAACTTTTTTGGCCTCATTTGGCCTATCCTGTCTAACTGCAGTCTAACTGCACGATACTTGCCGATTTATAAAATTCAGATAACATTGCCGGTTACCCCTTTGTGCCGTGTTCAGTATTTTTAAGTAAATTTAAGCAAATCCAGCTGTGAGCTGGCATGAACCAGAAATCTGATAATTTATATTACATATTCTGATATTACATGTCAGGATTCATCAGAAGTTCAGGAACCTAGCGATTATAAAATTCAGATAACATTGCTGGTTACTCTTCTGTACGGTGTTCAGTATTTTCAAGTAAATTTAAGTAAATCCAGCTGGCATGAACCAGAAATCTGATAATTGATAATACATATTTTAATAATACATGTCAGGATTCATCACATGTTCAGAAGCTTAGCAATTATAAAATTCAGATAACATTACTGATTACTTATACTCTTTTATGCCGTGTTTAAAAAAAGTAAGTAAGTAGCAGGAGACAGTTTGCCCCTTGTAGTCTAAATTTACATTGCTAGAATTCATTCCTTAAAACAAATTTTCCAAAAATAGTTCCAGATTCTCCCTCTTTGCATCTTGCACCCTCTTTGAGAGTGAGACATATTACTGTAAGCATATTTTTCAAAATTTGCATGACTTTTCTTTTGACCCTTAAATGGGCACAACAAAATCTTGCTGGATTTATCATTTCACAATTCACATTGCTAGATTTCAATTCTGGAAGCAAATTTCCTGAATTTTTTTTCGAGAGAATACAATATGCATCCCTTTTTCGAACTACACTTATTTCGCAAGAGCTGCTTGCAGGCCCTAATATGCATTTAAAATCGTATTATTTTAATAGTTCTTGAAACTGTGTTTGAAAATGATCTCTATTGCCAAGTTGCTCAGCTAGGCCTTTGACACGGTTTGCTGTTTTTGAAATTCAGGCTGTGGCCAAAGCGCGTGCTAAATTAGAAAAACTCTAAGATTTTGGCCACCTCATGAAGAAAATCATTCCTACACCCCTGGTTGCAATTCTGAATGAATAAATAATTTGTGAGATAAAACTGTAACTTAAACACAGAAATACTGACTGAAATTCCATTAACATTTATGTTATAGTTATACTTATAACCTCCTTGGATAAAATGAAGATTACCTGTCACCAATATCGACTCGGAACTGCTCGAATATATCAGGGTTGATGCCACCTTTATATGATTTAGTCTGACCCTTGGCTGTTTTATCTTGAAGAGTGAACTCCCAAGTTGCGTAAACTTTCAGATCCTCGGGTTTCCAGCCCTAAATTGTAAGGAATTCCAATTATTCATGAACAGCGCTGGGTATGTTATTTAGACGAAATAGCTTTTTGCCTAAAGCTGATATTTGATAGCGCCCATTGTATTTATACGGTGGACGCTATCTGACCAATAAGACATAGACTTTATCCTGGCCCATCGTTTACTTTGAAGCTGACCGCTTCAGGAATTTGGGCAGGGAGTTACAGCCCAAAAAGCAAAGAGTCTCTGCATACCTGAGGTACAGGAACGTTCAGACACCGTACAATAACAATCTCAGCTTCACGATCTGACAGCTCAGGGGAGCTGTTCAGAACTGGGAACTTGCAACCCTCGTAGCGATACGGCGGTAAACCGTTCTTCTGTTTGTAGATTCCTGAGGGAGATTAATTGAACAAGGAATTTGTAGAATTAGTGAGAATAAAGGCATGATTTCAAGGAATGTACAGTGAACTTTATGTGACAGATTTGCTTTATTTACACCGTACAACTAAACGACCATAAGATAAGTCTCAGCTCCCTGGATGACCAACAAGCAATTCAAGGAATAAAACACCACAAACCAACCCTTAAGATTAGCTAGATCCTTGCCCTGATTCTGGAAGAGCTGTGCGTAGTGTTTAGCAGACGGCAGATCGCCCAGTTTTTGGAAAGTCTGAGCGTTTGTCTTGCACATCTCGATCTGATGCTCCAGATCAGATACCAGTTGGTTAAATATCTCCTCGACGTCTCCGGTGGAGGGCCCCATGTCTATCACGTCTCCACTCATCTTTAAAGAGCTGGTGTTAGTGAAATTGTAGTGCAGGCTTGAAGATAGAGTTCGTTACTGACTATAACGGTTAGGCGCCGGACGGTCGGGCGCCGGGCGGTCGGGCGCCGGACTTTGAGAAATAGTATTATGTAGTATATGTTAGCTTTTGGGTTATATTCTTAGGGCAAGCAAGGCTATTATCAGGGGATCCTTCGCCTGTCCTGCCTCATTAGTCATTACTGGCTACGTGAGCACGTGGTGGAAACCAGGACTGGTATTTATCGGAATGAAGAAAAATATCATTTATTCAAACAATTTACAAATCTAGGGGTTGTACCTGGGGTAAAACGTGACGGAAGAGATAAAAATTGGATCAAGTAAGCAAGCTTTCTGTGTTAATTTGAATTCCAAAGGTCCAAAGTCAATTCACACAGAGGAGGTTTATTTGTTAAGTTGCAACCCAAGGCCAATGGTGTTAAGTTGACAATTCAATGGTTATTCATGGTTTTCAGCTTTTGGTAGTCTCGGAGTAAGGAGTAATTTAATTAAAAATTGGAGGCCGTATTAAAGTTAGATAATTGTTAATGTTTAAGCATTTCGAAAATCTACCGAAAAGTCTTCTAGCTTGCTCCTTCATTGATATATTTTTCATTATAGTTAGTAGTGCTTTTTTGGAGAATAATTTTAAGAAAAAAATCAATTTTGCGATTTAGTATTCTCTGGTGTGCGGCCAATACCCCACTAGAAACTTATTGTCAAGCGATTTAGTTGAACAATTCACGTTCACAGGATTGAATTTCAGGGATTCAAAATATGGGCTTACTTTCGCTTCTGCAAAGTGGACATTGGAAAGGAGCATGGGTATTGGCTGCTATTATGTTCCAGAACTTCATTGTATACGGATGTGTAAACATTGCTTCGCCTTTTTATGTGACCCATCTCACAACTAGAGGTAAGAACAAGACCGTGAGTATTTTCAAGCTTGAAGGTGAGCTCATGCTAAAACAGAGCTAAAAACTGAGCTCCTTTGTGGCAAAGGTCCAAGTTAAATATAAAAGGGTGGGGAGGGAGCCCATAAGTTACAGTGCAAACTTGTGGCTTATTACATAGCTATTTTTCATGTTTGAGACTTGTAACTTTTAAAATGGCATACTGTTACTACTATCACTCGAGAAATCGGTCGCCAAAATTTTCGATTCGATTTTGGAGGCTACCAACATTAAATTGCTTTTTTCTTGGCGAACATGCTATGCTAGAAACACCATTTTTACAAAATTGAATAATATGTCATTAGATGTGGAACATGATCTGAAAAATAATCATTCGAAATATCTGAAAAATGCAAAAATGAACCTTCATTAGAAAGAAGTGAACATCGTCATTATGAGGGATTTCTCGAATGATTGATGATAGCAAGTCATATCAGAAAGAAATATTTCAATCGGACACTTCGGGACTGAGCAATAAGCCCAAACGTTTGCACAGTTACGTATGATATTGACCCCGGCCCCTGAAATTTATTTCGTCAATTATTGTTTAATCAATTCATATTTTTTCCTTTTCACCCTTTTGAAAAAAGGCAATAGTGAAAGGTTACGAATGGAGGTTTTTGCAGAAAAACGTGGATTTTGGAGAACGAGATAGGTGGGTCAAATATATGTCGTGTTCCGTTCGTTACCAAGCAACGAAAAAGTTGCGCGCGCGCGAGGATTGCTTGCGGAGATGTGATGTATAGATAGCCTGTGATCTATGAATGCACGGCGCGACTGTGTTTTAATGTATATGATGCATGTAATTATAATATTACTATTGGGTAATACGCCCAATTTGTACGTGGCACGCGTAGTGTATTGATGTGTACACGAGTATAGTTTACCTTTGCTGATAATTTCTTGAATTACAGATACAAGTTAAGTTCTAGGGCAATTGAACTGAATTTCAAGTGTTTCCCGTATTTGATGCATAATTTATCAATATTATTATCATGAAGATTGAAGTGAGCTGATTGGAGCTTATACTTAAATTTATAGTAAATGTGAAATGGAAATCTAGCGTCCGCCAAAACGAAACAACGGGCGCAATTCTTGTTAATAGATTTGTTTTAGGGATCCCAAAGATTATAGTCGGTATAATTGGTATGGTTCCTGGTATTGGTTACCTGTTCAACTTATTCTATGACTTTATCGAATACCTCCTCTGTGTCAAGAAAATATCTCTGAGAGCAATTGTGTGTTTCTTACTTGCAGTGCTCATGCTCAATTGTATTGGTTAGTAACAATAATTTGTATAGCAATATATCATTGTATTCCAATATCATAGATCGTGAATAATTCAACTCATACGGCTAGACATATGTAGTAAAACACAGCTTGAGATTAAAATTCCAGTTAAGATTCTTCTATAGGTCAAGGGGTTGCCGAACTGCTGCCAAAGAAGTACAACCAACTTCTTACCGCCATACTTATCATTCAACGAACCTTCCAGGGATCATTAAGTTTCCTAACGAGCAATGCAGCTGTTAAATGCTGTACAACTTGGTTTCCAGATCATATCAAACTGACGGTAGGTCTTCAAGTAGCTGTTTCTTATTTGGGAGGAGCTGGCGCGATATTTATGGGCGGATATGTCTATGAACTCTTCGGTTACCAGATGCCATTTTTGTTTATTAGCGTGATTAGCATTATTTTTTTGGGGCTCAACATAATTGCTTTGCCGTCGACCCATGATCCGGTGTATGTCAAATCTAAGAGAGCTGGATATACACCAGATAATGCATTCGGTAGTGATACTGAGGATCACGCTGACTACCATGATGGTGATCAAGTTCTAAGAGAGAATGAGCATGTAGGAGTTGAAGAGGTAGAACCCACCGGAGGCCTCTCTTGGCTGGTCATCTTCCCCATTCTTGCACAGAGTTTAACTATAGTTCTGGAAGGATTCTCAACAGCCATCACGACTCCTTACTTAAAGGAAGAGTTTGATATATCCATCGACCGAGGCAGTAGCTATGTGTTCACTTTCTATGTGGCCATGATGGCAGGATCTGCAACTTCAGGGTATATTTTGCAGCTTGGTTGGGCTTCTGCAACCAAGGTAATGGGAGTGGGATCATTTCTTGGTTTTATCGGTGTAATGCTTACTTTCCCGGGTCCGTATGTCCCGTGGCTGTACAGAATTGTCCCACATTTAGCTTATGTCGGAATAACGCTTCAAGGGTTCGGCTGTCAACTAGTAACCATAGCTACGCTACCAGCACTTGAAGATGTTCACAGAGTCATAGGAAAAAGGCCGTACACAAAGAAGAACAAATGTAAAGCTAGAACCTTGTGGTTGTGTTCGTGGATGTTGGTTGTTTATGGAGGTCACCTGGTAGCTCTGCTTGTTATGAAGGTCACCACATACACCTTCGGAGGCTGGCTTGTGGCAGGATGTTCATTGGTATCATTCGCAATAAGCATCGGTCTGGACACCTTTAGGAAACGATCCCTGGAACGGCCTGCTGATGAACAGTGCGAGATTGAGGTGAACGAGTTGGCTATTTAGGATACCAGCGGAGACTTAGTGAACAAAACATTTTCTTCTTGTTATGTTGAATATAATATGAGAGAGCGGATTTATTCAGTGATTTAAGATTATGGGTGGAATTCCACGTAGCTATGTCAAGTTAATTTATTTATACTTTATCATTATTTCACAAGATGCGTTTTAATTGTAACCTGATTTGTTTTCTGGTTTTAAAAGTGAAATTTTTGTAATTCGAAAAGGGCAAGGTCAGTTTTAGACCCGGTTATAGAGTCCTCAGTCCCAGCCCCAGTTTTTATCACAGTCCTTGTTTAGTCCCAATTCTGAAATCTACTAGCATCTGCCGAGTAACTTAACAATTGCCACCTTGTTAGTGTGGAATGCTACAAAATTGCTTACAAAAACAATAATCTTGGTAATCTTACATGAGGCAGTGTGTTCTGTCTTGATAAGACCCGCCGCTCTGGAGGAGCATTCAAACTCGGGGGAATTTTAGACATTTCAACTGGGAGACCTTTCTTGCACGCCTCTATCATCTGGTCGAATCCTTTAGCCTAGGAAAGTTGGGAATATAACCACTCCAAATGTCAATCGATCGATTTAACAACAATTTCAATTAAAATACATGTAATAATATTTCATCACTTCCCTCTCTGGAAATAGGGACTGGTTGAATCTAAGCTTCTGATCCAACAGTACCTGTCCGAGACATTTTTTGGCCCCAACTTGGTCCCCTTCCTTGTACAACTTAAGGGCTTCCTGCTTGTACTCCGCTTGTCTTGTCAGTAAAATCTGTACAGAGGTGGAGTTTTTAATTTGTAGCGAGATTGGGACATTGAAGTCGAGTGTATAATATCTACTTTCTATGACTAGACTTGACAGGAAGTTTTCTAGGTTTGACAAAACTGAATCTCACCCTAGAAGAATCTACAAGCCAAACTTAGGCTTAAACAAAAGGGTTAGAAATTACCTCCATGTTTTTATCTGCTGTAGATTGCTTGAGTTGATCCTTGACGGAGACCTGAGATGCAGCTGCGGGAACCTGTACTTGTACTTGCGGGGCAGCTGGAGCTGGCCGTTTTGCTCTCATGTAGTCAGGTACTGGTACTGGCTCAAACCCTGTGGATTTGGGAATTATTTTGTTGTATTTATATAATTAAATTCATTATATTAACCTTAAAGGTACAACTTTAAGGTTATAGCAAACAGTGCGGCTTTGTTTTAAATATGTGATCTGGTAGACTAAAAATTAATACAGACAGGGCTGGATGAGCATATCTCTTAAAATCAAAATTAGTTCGAAGTGTCAATTTTCAATTCATAGAAACCTTACTTAAGATAAGCAGTAAATAAAGATATTAGCACATACCTGGTAACTCAGGAATGGCACTCATATCGATTGGTTTACGAGATTTGACTTCCTTCACAAAGAGCTGGTGTTGTTCTATTAGTCTCACCATTCTCCGAGCCTGCATACAAAGCCAACGTTAAATCTTCATATCTAATGTCCCAAAAAATAAGTTATCATTATCCAAATTTTATATTTTAATTTATAGTTATACCCGCTCCACGAAAACTGATAAAACAGAAGGTTGACTTTTACTATTGGTTATTAATGATGGTTGCGCGGCGTGAAAATACTTTTTAACACTCTTATTTTAGGGAGGTACTTTAAAGTACACCTATGCATTGCGACGATTGCATCTTTTGACATCAGATGATATACAGATATATTATCGCGGTTATACGTGTAATAAGTATCACGGGTACAACAGAGTTGGATCCCAAGTCTTGGCAATTAGGCATTGCATCACGTCATGGAAAAGTCTTTGCATTTAGACTTTCTTTCGAACATAATAAAATATTGCCATCATTTTTACTTTCTCTACAGTTCTGGTCTTTTTTATTGTTACGTCTCTGTGAACCTGAATTGCATTGACGGAAAATGAATTGTATACAATAAAGCCAGTTTGAGAAACGTTATTGCTTTGTAGCTGAGTGTCCTGATCTTATTTTAGTTTTGAAACAAAGAACTGAGTCGAGCTCGATGTGATAAAAGAATTAAATCCCAGCAAATGCACCATCTTGTGAGGGCAATTGAATATCTTGAAACATCTATCATGTTTTCTTTAAAATATCAAACCAAACTGTCACATTATTTAGATTGTGATAATAATAAAATGTATGATATCGCTTAAAACTGTAGGTCAGCTTTTCGAAAATGCAATTCGAATTAACTACCGAAATAAGATAACAGATGAGTAAAACAAATAAAATGAAATGTAGAAATAACGTGCTAAAATCTAATCTAACAGTAACTGGATTTAAAAGTATCTACGCTGCCCCCCTCTGGAATGAATTCCGTGCTCGACTGATTGTAGACAGGTGGAGGGCCCTGCAAATTGTTCGAAACCTGATTTAAGTTCGGAGTTGATAATGAATGTCCTTCATTGCTGGAACTAGCCTGGGTTTCAGCGTAATCCCCATCGCACAAACGATAGGGTGGCGGATTGTCATTTAGTTCACCACCAGTCAACTGTACGGACGGAGAGTTTGATTGATCACTCGGATGGGCTGACCTGGGGACACGGTGTTTTCCCTTGTCAGTGGGAGTGACTGGTTGGTAACCTGGTTCATTGGAAACAACTGTGAAGCCCTGGCTTGAGGTAGTTCGCTGTCTAGAGCGAGCCTCAGCTGGTGATTGCGAGGGGGTATGGTTCAGCTCACTTCTCTTCAGAGGCATGTATTGGTGCTGGTCTTGGTTTGGTAGTGACCCTTTTCTGGAGCCAGTGTATGCAGGTGATCCTAACTTTGTCACTGGGTAGTAATCCTTCTTCTTCCCGTTTCTATTACCACCGAGATTGCCACCTTGGAGGTGACTGTACTGGTCCTGCTGAGGGTAGAATATGCGATCGCGGCTAGGGAATGGAGTGTAGTTGTGATCGATGGGTCGTTGGTAGAGTGGAGGTCGAGGTCCTCGAGTCGTTTTCGGAGGAAGAGCAGGTTTCATGTCTGGTGTGTGAGAGAGCTCAGAGTTAGGGGACGGGGCCATCTTCTGAAGTGAGTCATGACTAGCTGAATCATTTCTGAGCTTCTCCAGATTGCCGTCCACAAGAGCTTTTAGAATGTATATCAAGTAGAAGCCCTGAAAATTTTTTAGATTTTAAGAATATGATATCCGATTATTTTTGGTTTCAAAACAAATTAACTATGAATCTTAAGATTGATATTATAATTGATCAGGATAAATATTGATTAACTAACCTCCATCACACAACTGAGACAAAACACAGCATTGTGGTACATGAAATCTTCGGCAATGTACTTTAAACAGAGCGAGATCGTCCACGGAAAGGCTTGAAGCAAAAACAGTACGAAGACCATCATCTTTATCTGCAAGCGACATCCCATAACTTCGAGATCAACTTTTCCAGATTTTCCAGTCATCAGTCGTTTTGTGGTTCCAATGACGATTAGTAGGAGGAAGAACACGACCACGATAAGAACCCAGATTGGGAAATGGAGAATTTCACTGATTTGGTTCAGCTGGAGACTTTGTCTGGAATCTGTCAAACAAACTACGTTCTCAACTACCTGAAATTAGTTTAAAATTAGTCTTACTACCTGAAATCATATCGATCAGATTAGTTTAAAATGAGTATTATTAATGTTGATAATCATATCCGCTTCATCACTAAGAAAAGAGGACAAAGGACGTAACGAATAACAAACACTGACCTTCAAGGTGCTGAGCAAGAAGAAAAGTAGGACCCATCCCAACGGGACAAGCCATCCACACACGTGATAGTAAACCAAGTTATCCACACTGAAGTAGACTGCAGGACTTCCATCCGACACAGAGAGAAGGAGGTGGAAACTGATGATCAGGAGCCAGGCCAGAGTACCCAGGTTCCCATACAGGTGAAGGGACTGGCCATGAATGCTGTACACAGACGAAACTGTGCTCAATAGGGCATCAAAACTCCAGATAACTCCCATCGTGGTGAAGTTAATGAAGAAGATCCGGAGTGTGGTCTTCCGTCCATACAACAGGTTCATGTTGATAGCCACCAGGTGAACCATGAGCGCAAGGGAGTAGCCGACCCCGAACCAAACCTTCATCCACTTATCTCTGTTATCAGCTTTAGTGTCACTACCGGTGGAGTTTGTGTTAGGAGTGTCCCAGCACACAAGGATGGTGCCATTGGCTCTCAGCTCGTAGTTTTGGTAATTCAGAACTTGGCCGGAGTCTTTGAGTTGGATAGAGCCAGAGGAGGTGATGGTGTACTCACGGGAAGTATATTCCACATACGCGCATCCAGTGCATAAAACCTGGAAATATATTTGTGTAAAACTTCAAATTGAAATAACGTTTCAGATTGTTGTATATATTCATGTCATGTCATGTCATGTCATGTCATGTCATGTCATGTCATGTCATGTCATGTCATGTCATGTCATGTCATGTCATGTCATGTCATGTCATGTCATGTCATGTCATGTCATGTCATGTCATGTCATGTCATGTCATGTCATGTCATGTCATGACTTTTTTGTCATGACTTTTTCCGCATACTCCCAAATCATAATTGTTCCAATCAATCTATAGAACACACACAAGCCGGAAGTGTTTGGTCCAATAGTGGATAGATCCAAGGGCGTAGCCGTAGGGCGGTCTTTAAATATATAATCTAACTAAGTACCGAAAGCGTTTTTGTTATAAAATTTGAGATGACAATGTTATTTACCTGAACAATGGGACCACTGCTGTCAAACTGGCAAACTATCAATGTGTTTAACTCTTTGACTTTGATATCAGACTGCACCAGCTTTGCTGTGATTTGATATACCTGGAAAAATATTTGTCGTACAAATAGAGATGTCTGAGGGAGTTACTGATGTTTAACATATTTTATGAGTAAAAAATGTAGAATTGAAAGAAAATTAAATCTTAAAAAACTGAAAAACATCAACTTACTTCACTCCCGATCTGTAAGTAATTATCAACATATCTTTTTGTTCTTCCCAACTCTTGAACACCTCTACTTTCTTCTAGCTTGGTCGGATGCCTTATGGCCAGTTGGGCTTTCCGAATCTCGCCAGGTTCAACATTATCCATCTCAAAATCCACAACCTATAATGAAGAAGTGCATGTAATATATTATCATAGGATCTTAAACCGTACTTTTATTACCACTCTTGAAAATCATCTTATCACTTTTCAGCTCAAATTAATAATATCTGATATTAAACCTGGTAAGGGTGATGCTGAAGGTGTTTGGTCAAGAACTTGACAGGATCATCGCTCATGGCTTTGGGTCTGTGGTACCCCAGAGGGGACAAGGTAATGTTGTAGGCTATTGTTGTGACGTCTTGTTTTAGGTATACCTTGATAAAGTTAAATAATTAGGTCCCAGGTTGTAAATTCATCGGTAATGTATTAAAAATTCTTTGCTCTAATCAATCGAATAGTGATGGCGAAAACATTCAAATACTAACATTTTAGAAGAATAAGAAATATTTTAGCAAGCATGATTTCTTACCTCTTCGTACTTTTTGTTCCTGGTTATACTCCCGTTATATTTGCAATTGATTCCATCAAAATGCAGTGGCTCAATACATTTAGGAGATTTTTTAGTTACAGCTGAAACGAGTAACCTATAAATTATCTAAAAACGATATAAGTCCTAATGGTTTCATAAGATCTTATAGAATCAATGTTTTAAAATGAGACGCTTCCTTGTTCTTTCACAAAATATGGATAAAAACCAGGACCACATTGTATTAATTATCGTTAAAGAAGACTGGATTAGGGTTTAAACATACCGCTTGTTTCTGTTTCGCTGGGATCATAACTGTTTGGGATCCCTGGGTAGTAACTGTTCGATATTCTTGGATACTTTGAAAGTCGCGACAAACTTTCGTGGAAGTTGGTTCGGTACCTAAGAGATATTTTAGTGTCAGGTAATGGCTAAAACTGTCCAGAAATCATCATATATATTAACTGAAACCGCTCCAGGGTTTGTATGACTAGAAATGTTTAGAAAAGTATAACTAGAAAGGTTTAACGTATGAGGTAAATGATCAAGCTCAGGATACTCGGGATAATACAACAGAAGGTATTATATAGATTACTAGTGAAACCCGGCCTCCGGCCGGGATTTCACTGCCGCAGTTAAAAAGGGTAGGAGCATTTACCCGTTAAGTCAACACCCGCATTAGGTGAGCAATTCTATTCGAAGTGCCCTCACGTATCCAATGGTATCTTAAACAATAGTAATAGTATCTTAAACAATAATCAATAGAAATTAACACCACACCCGCCTATCATATTTGTGAACACGCATAACATTGTCGTATGAAAGTATGAACTCTCTCTCTCTCTGCAGTCCAAACAGTGCCCCTTCCCCTAATAAGATTATAGTATAGACAGCGAATCTTACCCGGGTAACTCAATTACACTAATTATGCAGCTACATATGCGAGCCCCGTAACTCTTGCCGTTCTGCTCAAGCCATTTTATGTAACATTTGTGGTACAAAACCATCAATTAAACCACTTACCAACGACCGATTTAAAAAACCTTTATCATTTAACTTCGTCAGAGTTTTGTCGGCACTTTACCGAAAAAATCAGTCCCGCAACTCTTACCGTTTTCTTGATTAAACCGCTCGGAAATTACAAACAGACAGACAGACAGACAGAAAACACACATTCTGGGATTATTAGTTAGATAACATACACTATTTCATAATCATCGTCATCGTCTTCGCAGTCAGCTTCGTCACTTTCATCATCACAGTCCAGGAATCCATCACAAACGTTCGTCTGCGGATAACACTGGTGCTGTGTCCTCTTGCATCGGAAATCAGGATAACAAAACTTAGCAGCTGAAATGTGTGATTGGGTTAAATAACAGTTTGTTCCGATATTAATTGATAAAATCTATGATTGACAGACTCAAATAAGATGAAAACTCTTGAAATCGGAAAAATCCCTCGACGTATAAACATAAATAAACAAGTTTAAAAAAACATAATAAACAAAAAACACTTACCGCAACTTTCTGGCTCATCACTCCGATCCTCACAATCCTCAATCCCATTACAAACAGCGCTGTCAGACATGCACGTGAAAGTGGGCCTACATGGAGCAGTTCCCTCCCCACAGGGTTCCAGCTCAGAGTCAATATCACAAGTATACAGCCTGGTCATGTTTCTATCTCCGACTTGGTACCGGTGTAAATACACACAGTAAGGGTTCCTGTAGAGGGTGCCGTTGTATTTGACTGGAGCGTAAACAGTCTGACACCGCTCAGCTGCTTTCCCTTCTTTTTGTTGGGTTGTGATGACTGTGTCCTCGAAGGACGGGTCTTGGAAGTTTTTCACTCTGCATGTTCTTGGAGGGTAGTTCAGCGGAGGAATGAAGATGAGCGAATCACAGTCTTCATCAAAGTCATTCTCAGTGCTCTGACAGCCAAACCAAACGTTCCAAGGAACCAGATTGTCGGCCGCTGCTCCATTACACTTGGCACAGTAGTAGTTCCGGTAGTGTTTCTCCTCGTCCGGACTATAGACAGGTGCTCCGTAGTACTTCACGTTATCGGGCTTGTCGCGTTCACCACACCGCGTTGCATCGTGCACTGTCGCGCTTTCCGGACACTGGTCTATCACTAGTGCGGACAAATCTTCGCCTTTACCAAATAAATTGGGTGAACATCTCTCTATGACACCTTTGGGTCTGACGTGTGTGGGACAGTGCTCGACTATATCGTGACAGCAATCATTCCTCTGCCAACACTCCTTGTCACAGGCGCATTCGTAGCGGTAAAGATTAACATCGTCCATACAAGAGTCCTTGCAGGAGAACACTCGTGTTGTACAATGGGTGTGCTTCATCCGCTGGATCGCTTCAAAGAACGCTGACACACTTATCCGTGCATTCACGGACATTTTCTTGAAAGCGTCCCTGTTGACTGGCTTGTAACATAAGTCTGTCTCATCCTCACCATCGGGGCAATCTTTTATCCAGCCATCGCACCAGGAGAGAATGCTGATGCACTTCTGACTGGAGGTACACGCAGTTTGTAGAGCTGGACAATCTATACCGTTGTGGGCTTGTCCAGGAAACATTGGCAGTTTCGTGGTCTTGTCAACTGTCTCAATTACGATGCTATCCGAGTCTCCATTTGTTCGATTACTATCCGGTGGTTTTATTAGCGGCGCTTCAGTCATGTTTCCAAAGGGAATTACCTCTTGGGTTGCATTTACTTCATCGCAATTCATCCAGCTGCAGTCGTACTCATCGTGTCCATTTTCACAGTCATTTTTACAGTCGCACATGTTCATTACCGGAACACACCGTGGTAGCCCATCCAAACAAGAAAAATATCCACTAGGACATGGTACGTGCTGATCATCTTCACAAAGTCCACAGGTGTGATTACAATGAAGGTTCATGTACACCTCATAAGTTTTATTTTTACAGTGTCCCTTATTCCTCCAGAGCATACAGGTCCTGGTCGGGTCAACGTCTTCACAGCTCTGTTTTCCAAGAGAATAAACGACCCATATGTTGGCAGCAAGACAGAGCAGATAGACTATGGTGTTTAATCCGGGTCGCTTCATAGACAAACCACTATATCCGGGGACACCAGCTGAAAGATCAAACAAAACAAATGAATGTTCTATAGGAAGAGAGATTCGGTATAACCACTTTTCAATAGATAACCCTCATGACTATCACGTGACAAGTAAGCGTGGAGTCTATTCAGTCGTGACGGTGCCAGATAAATCCTATCAATGGAGGATCCGGCACGTGGACCGGACGGATATGGTGTAATCTGCCCCGACTTGTCAACCCTCTCCCCAGCTGGAATGCTCTGAAATTTTAATAACAATGCTGTCTTTTGTTTGGGCTGGAGAGCTGTGTCTAAGAAAACACGAGTCGAATCTATAGTCCACCTTGGCTTTAATTGAGTGTCGATTTACGGCTATTATTGACTGGTTAAATGTTTTCTATGATGCCAATTCTGATCGCAGAAAACAATTGTATCCGTGCAGAAAGAATCACGCACTGAAAATATATTCAAAGCAAGAAAAAGACCAAACAGTGCAAATCTTTAAAGGAATAAGCGCTGTATAAGACACTGCCAGGTTCACTAAGCTGCGCTGAGTAGACCGTACGAAGGCGAACAAATGATAGGATACACGTGGGCAACTACTGTACGTTTAGCTACATTTTATACAATAAAACATCAGGAAGTCCAAGGTTTGACCTTCCCCCCACCCTCCACCTTTTATCGATAATTTAAGAAGATGACATAATTTTAACTTTCTATTATACTGGCACTGCTAATTGCGATTAAACAGCGGAAACTTCAGGCAGAGTAAGTTAGGACACGTTCCATTACGTAATAAACCATGTGGACAAAGACGATAATTCGGTTATAAAGATTACACAGAACCTTTTATAGATGTGGATTATGACTGGTTTGTAGTTTTATTGTTTTAAAACACATACGATTTGTTCCGAGGAAATACGAAGCATTAAATCACTGGAACATTTTGAGTGGTCGTGTGATGATCTGACAGCTGAAACGGATATTATTTCGCAACTATTTGTTTCCGCTGTATGGGCGTAATCTGGTGTCTAACAAAATCAATGGCAGTTTCTCTCAAAATGATCATCCCCTCTAACCCTACCCCCACCCTAATGAACTAATGAAGTACGAGGCTCTATGGCAAAATGAGAGAGAGAGAGAGAGAGAGAGAGAGAGAGAGAGAGAGAGAGAGAGAGAGAGAGAGAGAGAGAGAGAGAGAGAGAGAGAGAGAGAGAGAGAGAGAGAGAGAGAGAGAGAGAGAGAGAGAGAGAGAGAGAGAGAGAGAGAGAGAGAGAGAGAGAGAGAGAGAGAGAGAGAGAGAGAGAGAGAGAGAGAGAGAGAGAGAGAGAGAGAGAGAGAGAGAGAGAGAGAGAGAGCTCTGGGAGTGGACGATGGTTAAAAAAGTGCTATCAAACGCAATTCTATTGTTTGCTGGTCGGATCTGAACCGCATCTGAAGAGCAATTTCAACAAAGTACTGTTCAGATTATAAACACACCTGGGCTGCTAAAACCAAAATCCCAGTGCTCAGGCCAGCACGGTCACTTTACCACTCTGTCCGCCGATATTTATACAGTACGTGCTGTGTCGGTAATATTTTCACAATCTGTCATTCACACAGAACGGTGTTAGGGTATTGTAAAATATTGGTCCAAATTATGACAGGACACAGTGAGCGATGAACAGCCATGTACGATTGTGAGCAAATTGATCGAAAAGGGCCATCCTTATTAAAAGACTGATAAGGTACATTAACGAAAGAGTAATACTGAAAAGCACAATTAAAAGTGATTTTAGACTCCAAACTTAAAGCGAGATGTGGTTTATCGTCGAGCGCTACTTCATGTAATAGCTTATACAACATTCATGATGAAATTTTGCGTGAATTCAATTTGATTGAGACAAGAACTTAATTCAATTATGATTATCAACAGTGATATTTTGTGCCGAACACTGTACAGGATGGAATTCCTGACTTATAACGTTGACAATTAACAATACCAGCTTGTAAATTATGTAGGCCCGTTCACGTTCAGTGTAAAATTGCGAAGATCACCAAAATCCTTAGCAATAACGCGTAACACCTATTAACATTCTATTCGCCGATAATGCATTAGTCAAAACTTGAAACCAATCGATATATAAAAGCATCAATGAATCAATAATGAAGTGGTAAAAACTCAACAACTCATAACTTTAAAATGAGTACCGATAGCAGTAGCACTTCGACTGCAAACAAAGCAGAGCACAATTCGAGGGAAGGTACCGGTATATTTGATGTGTTAAAAAACTTTACCAGCTTTCTGATTCGGGAATATCCAGTCGGTAGTTTCTATATAATAATTAATAATGTTATATTTATGACAATGTGACAAGCTCCGCTGGTTAACTCGTGCTTGACACCCAAGGCTCTAGAAAGAACCTTCAGAATTCCCACGCAACACGAAAGATTAGCGCGGCTATTTTTCAGATTGATACAATCTTCTAGTACTAGGACTAAGTAAATATGTTATATGTGGCAGTCGAAATAGCTCGCAGTTCGCACCAAGTATTTCAAGAAGTCTGATGGATTTCCTGATGTTGCCTATTAATTATGATAAAATTAGGATCGTGAGAGAAAAACAGCATCGTACGTGTGCAAATACCAAATTGACGTATAGTTCGCAATCGGCGCTTGTTCAATGAAAGAGTCCGATACGTTTAAGTTTAAAGCCGTGACACTTGTAGTAGTAACAGTGGCACTTGTCAGTAACATTTTAAAACAAAACAAAACCTGAACAGTTGAACTTGACACACTATAATGATTATAACTAAACAGAAATTTCTTCAGAATGCCCATAAAACACGATTTAAAATAACGATAGCAGTATGACGACTGACGAACCGCGCGCATCAATAATTTTATTTCAAACAATCGCCAGTAACACTCGCGGGCTATTTTTTTTTATTCGCAGACACAAAAAAAAGTAAAAACAGTAAATGAATAAGTTAATTGCCGGTCAAATTATTGCTGTAATTGATTAATTAACTAATTAATTAATCAACTAATTAGCAAGCTAACCTTGCTGCTGTTGCCTTGTTCTTTAGCCTTCTCAGCAGCATCTGTCAAGAATAACATCCTCTTATGTAGTTCAGACAGGGTGTCTCCTGAAATAGTGGCCCTCAAAGTTTTGAAGTTATTGAAAGTGAAGAATAAGTTCAATAACATAAACTTTTTACCTGATTATCAAGGTTGTGAAACGGTTGCTGATAAAAGTATAAGTTTGGTTTTACTATTATTATAGATAAAAGTATAAGTTTGTTAGAATATTAAGCTGTTATAGAATCAATGAAACGCACATGATGTATTGTTTAAATTGATAAACAAACTATCTAAAATTCACACGTAATTATTAATAGACTTTCTTTCTCCGTCCTGGGTGATAGCAGTTAATTAATGCAATTAATTACCTCCAGAAGAAGCTGCAGGAGCAGCAGCAGGCTGAGCGGGCTGCTGAGGGGCTGGTCGAGGTTGTGCGGGTTGTTGTGCAGGTTGTCTGGCGGGTTGTGCGGGTTGAACAGCAGCGGGGCGGGGACCTGGTTCAGCAGAGCGGTTAGCGGTGTGGGGGGTTGGGGGCCGGTGGAGGGGGGGGGGGGGTTGAAACAGCTTATAATTGATATTGTAGCAGTAAGCAGAGAAAAGCTGCGCGAAACGGTAGCCGTTATTTGGTTAGCTATAGAGCAATTATCTACCGAAGCTTGTAACAGTACTAAATAAACTAGGACTGTAATATTGCATTCTAAATAAGTATTGCTGTGTAAAAATACGTCAAATTCCAATACCTGCCATGTAAGGGGGAAGAGGTATAGGCTCAGCTCCGGGGAGTTCTGGCAACACATTGAAATCAACTGTTCTCTTCAGCTTTACACATTTGATAACGTCTTGACACGTGGTGACTACTCGTCCCATTCTCCGCGCTTTACTGCCGTTACCCTCCGCTTGGGCCTTCTCTTGCTGCAAATATAAATGCAAATTATAAATATAAAATATAAATACAAAATATAAATGCAAATTAGAGAGATAGATACTAACTGGTCATGGTGGGGAAGTGAACCATACTTTTCTTGACACGTGATAACGATTAACCATTCAACATTGACCAATCAAATCACAGAATCGCTGTCACTTGTCAAAACAAATTTGGATTCACCTCCCCGACCCCAGCAGTATCTAAGGGCCTATATTAATAAAAAATATAGTAGCTGTACAATTTAATATTTTACTTAGTTACATGAATCATGATAGCAATACCTCAAAGTGTATATTTTATAAACCCCCCATAAAATATTTAGAGTACAATTCACTCGAATTCAGTGAATTCAGGACTAATAAACTTTAAAACATCGAATTAAACCTCGAATCACCCTGGAAGTAAAGAAAATATGAACCTGTTTCTTGTAAGCATCCAGTCTAAAGTTAAGAGCGACAATGGTGGCCTGCTCGTCTGATACAAGTACACCTGCGGGACGGGCAGGAGAAGATGGTGCAGGGGCTCGGACTGGAGCTGGAGTCGGGTTAGCAGCTGGGGGCGGAGCAACTGGTCCCGAGTTTCCTAAAACAGTGGGAATTAAGTCGATTAAGAAGAGATTGGTGAATCAATATCGAAAGTGTATCAAATTAGGATAAGGTTGACGAGTCAACAAATTTGCTGATGGGACAATGGAAATCAATTGTCAGAAAATATTAATCCTCCAAATGCGCAACTATTTTGTTTGCCCATTGTCATCCGTTGTATTTAATTAACCATATTATAATTTCAGTTTGAACGAGCAATTGGTTCACACATACCTTGCTTAGACGCCATGTACTCAGTAGGATCAGGGGGTATAAGTGAGAGGTCCACATTGTCTCCCAACATGTAGCCACTAAGAGCAGAATCGAACTGCTTACTGATACCCAAGGAACTCCTTAGCTTCGTCCGTTCTTCCTTGTTTGTGGAGCGTTAGTGCCACTTGGCGGTAACGCCCTCCTCGGTCTTTGAGCAAGGTCACCACCTAGAGCGGTATTTGTGACGTCATGGTCAGTTGAAGTGACGTCATGATGTCATGTTCAGTTGAAGTGATGTCACAATATATTCATAAAACCTAGTTTTTAGTGCCAAAAGTGTAATGGTTCCCCGAATTGTCATCAGTCAACAGTCTTCACAAAATGATAAGAATTAAATGAAAGCGAGTGAGCCGAGTAGTGAACGGTGGAAACGAACCAAAAGTACTCACGTGATTTTCCACCTTGTGCTCGGGCTCGTTATATTGTTCCATGTGATTCAGCAAATCAACCACGTTCACATTCAACTTGCCAGGTTTTGCCACTTCGGGGAGAGGAGCTTGTTGTTGTTGTTGTTGTTGCTGGGATACGTGTTTGTGAGGATTAGTAAAGAATGCTCCTTCAGAAATTTAACTAACTAAACTGTATATTCGACATAGTTAACCAGTTCACTTGGATGCACGCAAAAAGACACTACGGCAAGTATGAAAGTAATTTGATGTACATAGTACAGACTGCACTTGTAACAACTGACGTCTAAAATAGTTAAATGAGCGCCTGCATTTCGGATGGGATTTACCTGGGTCCAAAAAACTATGCCGTGTTTCACACATTTCTCTCCGAAATACAGTTCTCCGACGTATTTAACAGAAATGAGGCAAACGTTGGGGTGTAAAACTTACCGGTTGCACTTCTTGGACATGAGCAGGATAACCTCCAGTCTGATCCCCAAAGTCAATGAGCGGCTCCTCCACTGGGGGTATAGACGGTGACAGGGACCCTCCTAGACCTGTCACTACTGTACGGTGGAACATATGATGTGAAGTGTGAACCTCAGAACACCTGGTCTAGTCACGTGGGAAAGTCACGTGAGCAAGACAGTCAGTGTGTATAGTATATTCATGCTTCAACCGGTCAAATGGAGCTAGCAAAGTGCAAAATGATACGTCCCAAACATAATGCATTTCAATCACATGCGAGTAACAATTTGTCCTTTAAAAAGTTTGATTTATGTCTGGATATGTAGCCACATAATATTATGTAAAACGATAAGCTCCAATTTATTAACAGTTTTAGAAAGTCTGTAGACATGATTCCTGATAAACTCCCGTCATATCGCGAATAATTAGTACGGTGCAGAATGTAGTGCATGCTTTGAAGTGAAACCGAAGTGAATCAAGCTATAATTGCGTTCTTTGGAAATCAATCACGTGCAACATATTATAGTGACAGGTCAGAGGGGCAATTAAACTGGTCACTTGATCAAAATGTGACGACGATATTGTAAGACCAGTACCAGTTTAACTTCATATCATAAAATAATAAATCAAGGCATTCGTGCAAAATAAAAAATAATAATAATTTTTTGCATAGAGCAAGATGATCAGTTTTTGGTCACGCAATATATCAAAAAAGTCAATTACATAAAGATTAAACATGAGAACAAATAAATAAAAAATGAGGGTAAATACCAGGTTGCTGATGGACAGGTTGGTGAGCTGGGACTGGCTGTGGGACTGGCTGTTGAGGTCCTGCTGGTTTAACGGTAAAACCGGGAGGTGGCTCAGGTAGAGTCGACAGATCAAACTGTCTTCCTGCTTTGATGGTCTTCAGAGCTGTACAAATATCAGGTGTTATTTCACAGACTAAAGTCAAATCTAACCAAATGAAAAAGAAATGGAAAAGAAATAAAAAAACTTAGAAAACTTGCCGATTGACGCTTGAAAAGAAGTCTGATATTCCCACATACCTGTGTCACACTGAGTTATAATCCGCTGGTATCTCCGCACCTTGGAGCCCTCTCCTGCAGCCTTGGCTTTCTCTTGCATTGCCACGTAAATCTCACGTCGCTCACTCGCTACTGCTAGCGGCGACTGACCCTATAAAGTATAAAGTGAGACATTATAATGAAACATAAACATTGATATATTTATATCTATGTTTTTATGTTTCATTATAATGTCTCAATTTATGAACAATTTCTTAATAAAAAATTTATAAACAATGAGACATAACCAGAAAGATAAAAATGTTTATTAAACATAGTTTATAATTCTGATTTATAAACCTAGTTTTTAACGTCAGATAATAAACATCAGTATTATTTACAGCGAACTTCTAATAACAAGGACTCAGAGCTGCTGCACTGTTAGTCGAACATGACTACTTCAATAATATAAGCGGCCAGGTAGCCCAGTTGGTTAAAACGCCAGCTTTACAATCGTTAGGTTGCGAGTTCAAACCCCACTGTCTGCCTGATCGTGGGGTGAGCGTCGTTGACGTACAGCTAAGGATCCTGAGTGGTCTATGCAGCCCCCCGGTCTACTCAGCCGAATACTCGAGAAATCGGGTGTGAGGGTTAAATGAGGAGCTGCACATTTCAGCAAAGTCTCGGGCGAGGAAAGTATGGTACACACTACCTTAACCGCCAAAAAGATCCTTCGGCTTCCTATAATTGGCTGGTTGCACTTGTGTAACAATGTGGCTGTTGGAATACACCGAAGTAAAATAAGTGTCTTGATAAAAAAAAAAACTAACACTGCTAGGAGAAGGTTGAACTTGAACGGGCCGAGGTGGTTGTGGAGCAGCCCTCCGCTGTACAGGAGCTGCTGCTACAGGCTGAGCTGCCGGCGGTGGGGAATCCTGTACGGGATGTTAAAATCATCTTATTTGGGCTTACTTGACGTTTTTAGTGATGCAGATTCTTTTAAATCAGGGAATTGTGTACTTTGTCAAATCCCGATAAAAAATGTACTTTGCAACAATAAACCATGTAGTATGAGGATATTCCAGCAGCTCATAACAATCAGGTTTAGGAAGAATATAACTCACCTTGATCTCAGCAAGCATATCATCATCCTCATCATCCTCACCAAGGATATCTCCTAACTCAGCCATGAGGTCCTCGTCATCTCCTCCGTCATCTTCATCTGAAAACATGTTACTTTTGCCAGAGGTCTTCCGAAAAAGATAACTACTACTACTATGTCGGAACTAAGTCCGATCTACGCCAGATAACCCCCTCCATATATCCCTGTCCCGCATCAGGGTTCGCAGTTCCTCTTTAGATTTTGTCCTAACTTCCTTCAGTAACATAGACAAGTAGCTTTGTCTTGGTCGGCCTTGCTGTGCTCTACCGTGCGTAGGTTCCCATAAGACTAAATCACTGGCAAGTAGCTCAGGATGTCGGATGCAGTGTCCCGCCATTTTTAATCTCCTGCTTCGTAACTTGTTTGATAGCCTTGGTAGGCTACCATACAAAGTTATATTGCTGACCTTGTCCTTCCATGATAATTAGTAGTTAATAACTAATAATACTGAACTATTGTCACGAACAATACAACTTTCTGGAATCGATCTTTAATTTTGGACAAACTTTAGTATTTTGTTGTTTTGTTGAACTCCTCAACCTTTCCGGGATGATTTTACCATAATATTATGATGACTTACAGACCACTACAGCAGAACGTGACGGGCAGTAAAACTATACGGTTATTGATAACAATCCTTTTGATAAGTACCACGACTGAAATGTACCATGTACTGAAATAAGTACTTGGTCCATTGTGGCTGTTATCCCCTCTCAGTTTTGTACGTGACGAATATGTTCAACAGTCAGCGAGGACAATTGCGAGAGTCAGTGGATCGCGACTGATACCAGTAAGGGGGAATGTTTTTAATCGATCAAGGACAAACTTTGACCAAATGGCATAAGTTATTTAGTTATTCGACGATTTTATTTTTGATACATTTTTATTTTAGATTTAAAGTGTAGGGTGGAATTTACTTTTTAGGTGAAGAACGCTATTATGGAAACCCAATATCTCCAGCCTATTTTTGCCGATGAATTTTTTATCGTATTACAAATTTAGTTGATTTCGGAAAATAAATTGATTCTGTACCAACCGATTTTTGCTTGTATTATATTGGTATTTTCTTTTTTTCCAAACATAAATCATATAATTTTAATGAAACGCAATTAATTATCACAAGCTAAGGGATCAAGAGGCGATAAAAAATTAAAAATTGTAGAATTTTTCAATCAAACAATGTCGCTGGCAAATTACTGATTTAATTACTGATGTAATTTTCTGGAATGTAAAAATATAAAATGTATGTACTAACCAATGTAATCAAGTGAATTTGATAAGTTTAGCCATTATATCTGTCGATTCTGGTGGGAAGGTGGGGTCACGTGACAAACAATATACGCCACCTTCCCTGTAGAAGCTTGTTACAAAATTGTAATTGCAATTTCACAAAACTTTAAACCCTTCGTGAATACTGAATACCCTTGCAGGTATCACCTGTATTTATACTCACAACTGAATTGAATCATTTCCCAATACAATACTTAGGTTGGTTTACATGCTGTACAACTCATTTTCGGACGGTTGGCTCACGTCTATGACAGTGTTATTGCAGACAAACAGCTTGACGGATCTCTTGAATTTATCGATCCGAAAATAATAGACAATCGGGTTCAAAGAAGCATTCAGAACAGTAAAGTGAATCTTTGACACCGTCCAAAAGTAGAACATGAACATGCTGTCACCAAGACTTGATTTGAGGTCCGGGGAGAAGATCGAGGAGAGCGCCAGGAGCATGTTCACGAAGTAAGGAACATTACAAAACAGGAAGACAGCAGTGAAGATTGTCACGGTTTTCGCAGCACGCCTGTTAGTCGCGCGAGTCGTTTTAACAGCTGTCCTCTTTAACTGGACCACGCAGATGATAAAGCTGAAGAAAGTAAGGATGGGCGGCAGACCAGTCTCCAGGTTTAGAAGAACCATATGGGTGACTGTGTAGGCAGTTTGTTGGTCTATGTTACGGAAACAGTACCCTCCCTTAGCCCGGTACACAAACCCAATCTTCACTACAGCAGACAGCACAAAGTGAAGGGCAAGGAACAGGCTGTACGCAATCACTGCCACAACCACAGACCTCCTCCTCATCTTGTAAAACGGGAGAGAGATGGCTATAGTCCGGGTCAGACTCAGGGTCATCACTAGGAACATGGCATTCCTCTGACAGAAAGAGAAGACTATCTCCCACAGCGCGCACACCTCTTGGCTCCCGAACATGACGGGTGCGCGCTCCGCGAACAGAGACACTGTGACCGGGAGATGGGAGAAGCAAGTGCAGGTGTCAATGAGACAGATGGTGAGGTAGAGAGATGTGGAGATGCACTTCTTCCGTCTGGAACCGTAGAAGTAGCGGGTAGAGAAGATGTTTGCGGGCACCCCAAACAGCAGGCAGAGAAGGAGGATCGTGGCGAAGAACTTGTCCAGCGCAGAATTGCTTGATATTGTGTCTATGGTCTGAAGTAGGTTCGTCTCGTTTTCCGACGTCGACATTGGGAGCTATGTCGACGATTGGGGTGTTATCTTTTGCTAAAAATGGGATGCATAATTGATTAATATGATCATAGTCAGAGAAGCAATATAGGAATTAGAATAAAAAGCAAAAGCAGCTATAATCATCAACAATGTAAAGCGATTGGTATGAAAACCATAAACTTTTGATATCATAGCAAACAGATAAAATTAACAATTGTGAATTGATTTGTACTCTGAAACAAGGTTAATAAGTAGTAGGAAAGATATTGGAAACTGCTACTGGGTCCAGTGCACAAGAACAAACATAGTTCTGCAGAGCAATTGCTTCACATTGTGAGCTTGAAACAATGACACACACAGCTCTACATAATTTCACATCGAACAAACAAAGAATGTTTGTATAAGTTCACGATTCACATAAAGAAAACAAAGAAACTCACTCATAGGAAACAGGAAGGTCAATTGAAGATCTATCTTCAAAGAACCCGCAAAGACCTTCAATTAACTTTAATAGAATTGCGTGTCATTGTTTCAAGCTCAGAATGTGTTTTGTCTACTACAGCTACTACCACAAGGAGTCTTGTGGATTTATATATGTACCATAAAACGTAGATCTAGATTATAGTGGAGATGAACCAATTTTTTCAAACAATAAAAGCGATTTTACCAATAAAATTCAAGAATCACTTTCACGTGTCCAAACAAATTTGCTTCCCACCAGAATCCACATCTATAGTTCCGAGTTCGGGTGAAAAGTTTTCAGTCATATATGAGCCGGGTTGCCCTGTTCCCTCATTAGGTTGCCAATTATTCTAAATAAGCAATCAGACTGTGAAAACATCTACCATTAGAGTTTAAATAACATGTGACATACAATTCCAAAGGGTTTGAGCCCTGATTAAATGGTAGATGTTTTCATAGTCTGATTGCTTATTAACTACAATTGTCAACCTAACAAGGGAACAGGGCAAACTCGATGATCAGCTCAGCTGACAGCTTTATTTAATGAGATCTCAATGCTTAATCATTATTAATGCTATTGAATACATGAAGTTGGACTTGGATTTCTTGTCTACATAATTTGGAAATTGTCTAGACAAACAGGCGAAACGTTTTGGCGAATTGCCCGGACAATTTTGACTAGATACAAATCCTAAGCAAAACTATTCACCAACAATCGCAGTTAAGCAGCAAATTATCAAGGTCGGGGAACGTTGAAACTGTTTGCCAAACAGTCTGCTTGGTGTTCATTAATCTCCATCTTTAATTCGTAACCGGGAAAAGACTCATTAACATGGGATCGCTAATAAGACCCTTCCTCAAATCTCAATTTTTAACCTTAATATATCAACAATTTCCGGCTCTTCCAGTAATAATCCTGTATCTGGTCAAAACCTGGCACAACTTAGCGAGTTTAGAATGTTTGAGATGTTATTTGTGCTCCCTAGGGTCTCTACTTCAAAAAAATTGGGTGGATAATTTTGTATGCGTGTTTAAACCCGTGACCACGCCCTTTTTAAAGCGTGGGAAAAATTTGACAAAAATTATTGAAATTTGCCTATAATGTTTGATGGGGGTCTCTAAATGGCTTGTTATGATGCCATCAGTATTACTAGAACATAATAAAATAAAATTTGGGTAAACAAAAGTGGAGTGACACCCTGACCACGCCCATTTACACAAAATTCTGAAATTTCAAAGTTGTCTACTCTAGCAGCAGGGCCAGGGGGGAGTTTAGTTTGTATTTACACTGCTGAATCGAGTTAAATAGGTTCTATAAGTAACTCAATTCAATTAATTGGGCATGTTGAGCCATTTGTTCAGCCTTGGGGAACCACGCCCATATTTCATAATAGGCGCGTATATAAGAAATTTTTATCTCAGCTTCTAGAGGCCGTAGAAACTTAATTTTGGGCTTAAAATTACCGCAATATGTAAGTTGATAATGACACTATTAAGGTGCTGAAGCTATCCGGGACTTGCTTTTGGATAAAAATGAGAAAAACTGATATTTACTGAAGCGCAAACAAACAAACAAACAAAAAACTACCCTAGCAGCTAGTTTAAGTCAAATTTAATATTTCAACCAATTTTCTGATCTGCGAGCAGCAGTCACTTGTTGATATGTTGTGCGAGCAGTGCAGAGGTCACTGATTGATCTGCTGTATGAGCAGAGCTAGAAACGAGTTGGAATAAAATAAAAACGCACATTGCAAGAATTCACTGCGTTTTGCCTAGCACAAATGTACAAATTACTTTAGAAGTAAAGCTCAAGATCCAGCAGCCAGCTCTCATAAGTTCGTGGCGTCGATGTAACCGAGGATAATGTCCAAAGTTTTTAATGGCCTTTGTTTAAATCCTTGACATAAGGGGAGTAAGCAACGAGTTTGCTTACCACAATAAAGCAGGGACCCTCTGCTTGATATGCTCATAAATAAAGCATAAATGGTAGCTGTTTTGACTCTCTGTGTTACACAAAATCTCACATGATCTCACATACGCTGACAGATAACAAGCGACCGTGGATGCGTGGAATTTACTGGTCACTGAAAGCACTGACTGGATGCCCCTTAGCAAGACTTTAGACACAAAAAATAAATTTCTGGTTGAATAGTTGAATATCCGGCCAAATTCTTGGAAACCGGAACCGGACATTAAAGCTGGATATATCCGGCCGGAACCGGATTCAGCGGGATATCCGGTCAGTTCATACAGAGGATGCTGTAAAAAGAACTGGAGTTTGAGGGATCTGTTGGTTGGCTGGGTGGTGTAGTGGTAACACGATCCCCTCCCACGCAGAAGGTCCTTGTTTCAAATCTGGTCTGATTCAAGTCGGCCAATCACTAAGATTCACACTCCCTGGCTCGTAGGACTTACTCCCTACAACTAGTATACGAGTATAGTGCATTGGCACAGAGTGGGTTAGCTGCTAGAGCCTAGAGTAGACAACTTCGAAATTTCAGAATTTTGTGTAAATGGGCGTGGTCAGGGTGCCACTCCACTTTTATTTACCCAAATTTGATTTTATTATCATGTTCTAGTAATACTGATGGCATCATAACAAGCCATTTAGAGACCCCCATTAAATATTATAGGCAAATTTCAATAATTTTGGTCAAATTTTCCCACGCATTAAAAAGGGCGTAGTCACGGGTTTAAACACACATACAAAATTATCCGCCCAATTTATTTTTGAAGTAGAGACCTTAGGGAGCACAAATAACATCTCAAACCACGTCATGATCACATAACGAGCGGTAACATCGCAATAAGTGAGACATGTAGGTATTCAGAAATACGACAAACTGGTAGTGGCAACTTAGTATACCGACGAAACCTTCACAATAGCTGTGTGTAAAGTGGTAGGAGGGGTCTGGGTTGGTATAATCTGTGTATTGTGTGATAAAGCACAGTTAGCGCACATTTAAGCGATTATCTACGTATTACCAAGTTCCCCGGGTGGTTTAACTAAAGTAATGGCATTGTTTGCTGCAACTTCCCGCCTAAGAGAAGCCTACTACCACCTTACATACTATCACTACACGTACTATCTTACAGCTATTCTGAGAAACAAATGTCTGCTAAAAGGAGAACCAACAGGAAACAGACGTCACCATGAGATTAAACACAAACACAAAATAGACATTGGATCGGAGAGCTAATATTTCTGTCAGCAATAGGATAAGATAATGACATACTCAGTACATCTCGTTGATATTCAGTTATTTCGTCACTTGAACATAAAGTTGGCGGTTGGCGGCTGGCGCCTTCATCCCGTCCAAGTGAAGTCGGACCCTAATAACCTAGTGCTCAAATACCATTTCAATTATAATTTATATTATTGACGTTGTGTACGGTTTAAATAATGCACGATTTTAAATAATGCATCGCATGGTGTAAATAATTTACATTATCCATTCGGCGTTCACCAGCTAAGGAGATGTTTTAATCAATTCAGATTTTAAAAGAATGTGAGTACTTATTTTGTGATGCGTGATCTGGAAAAAAGCAAGAAACGATATATGTATCAACTGGAATTTGGTATTTAATCGAACGTTGAAATAAAACACAAACTGCATATAAATAAACATAAATTTAAGTTAAATTGTCTCCAGCACTATCGAATTAAATTTTTTTTAAACAACCACATAAGATCGAGCGCTACATACGCTAGAGAGTATAAGAACACAGTGGTATAGTGAAACATACAGCTCGCTCGTGACCCGGTAAAAACTGTAAACAGTACTCAGTCTCATGAGGCTGGAGCTAGACATGCGAACTACAAGTGACCTATGTGACAAACTAGGGACACACTAGGGGAAAACTAGGGACAAACTAGTGACAAACTAGGGACACACTAGTGACAAACTAGGGACACACTAGTGACAAACTAGGGATACATTAGTCACTAGTGACAAACTAGTGACACACTAGTGATCTGCCGCCCTACCATTAGCGATTAGAGCTGTATTTAGACAGGGTAGTTCCCGGAGGTATTTAGTAATAGCTCTCCCAGTCCTCTAAATAGAGGGGAGTGGTAATCATTGTGTCAAACAGACGAAATCGTTACTGATTTAACGGTAGCTGCTGTGAGGCACATCTGTCTCCTCATATAAAGAGCGGAGACGAATGAAGAAGATTGTAAAACATGAAGATAACAGCTGAAGACAACATCTGAAGACGATTAAAACAATTTATCTCCTGAAACAAACAAATTGACGCATTTGTTGAAAACATCTGTGGTCAGTGGTGACCAAAGCTGGCCGTCGTTCATACAAGTAAATATGAAATACTTTTGTAAACTGACCTGAGGGACACTTATTTCGCAGATTTGAAACGAAATTATAATAATAAGAGAAAGGTTTCCTGCATTTCCCTAAAAAGGTGTGGGTCGATCGGTCTTTTGCTAAAACTTGCCCACACGTGATGAAATCTTAACAAGCATTGCTATGAAGCAGCAATAATCACGTGATAATTATTGACATTTCAAGTTCTTTGACCATTGACTATTCTAGTTTAACTGAACAACACAACTTTCGAATTTGAGAATTTGTTAGATTTTTTTGCGTGACTGATAAGTGATAATAATTTGAAAACTCTAATTAAGTGTTAAGATCCCTCCGTAGTTGTCAGATATATCGAATTTAACTATAGGGCGTGGTTGATTCTACTTGTTTAAAACTTAGATGAAACATCGAAACGAAATAGGAGAAATCAAGTTTATTTTATCACTATACCACGCCAATAAGACTAGCTATAATTTGTCCAGTGGTCAGAGGGTAAGACGATATACTTACGGAAATGAGATGAGAGATATACCCACGACAATCGGGCAATATCGCGACTTAATGGTGTTGTGGTTACATGATACAGGCCACTTACTGATCCAACCAAACCACAAGTGGTCTGTGCTGCCTAGTGTTTTTTAAAATGGTTGACATGGTTATCCGAAGTCCGAAATCCAAATACGTATGTCCACTAGACTGTAGACGCAACGATAAACCACAGTTGATGAATATTATAGAACAGACAAATACGAAATATGTCCTGTAAAGTAATCATGATAATTGTCAGAGTCCACGCCTGATAACAAAAAGGTTTAACTATCGTATTATCTGTAAACAACACGTGGGCGTTACCCAGGTGATAATATATTGCATCTAAACCGACAATGTGATCTTTAAACTATACATACCAAGAGCTGATGATGAATGCCATAATATTTACGAGTTACCAATCTCAGTTTTTTGACACAAAGTATGAAGCAATCTGTGTGGTGTTTGGGGACCACGGGAGACTAAAGAGCCGGGCTTGAAAAATAAAACCAATTTGATATATGTAATATAACCATCTATCCACAGTCCACCCCATTATCCTGAGCTGAATACGATTAGTTACACACGATACATATTTTATTTGAAGGCTTTTGAAACAACAGCTTGCCGTGTCAATTATATTATGATCAGAGTCTGTTCGACAAATGTTATAATAAGACCAGTTTTTAGCACGCTGGATAATGAAATAAACTGTTTCATTATCAGTTCATTGTTTTGTGACATTAATGATAATGAGATATTTATACATCTTGTGGCACATTTCGTTGTAACCCAATTAAAATGTCTTATGTGAAGGCTTCCACCAATGAAAATAGTCTTATAATACGGCGATAGGGTAAGCGCAGCACCTTTTCCTAAATGGTATCGCAGAACTTATGCCAAAAGGAGATGGAATTGATCTAAAAATGGCATAACTTCTACCGTATTATATTAGGTATGGATAATGGATACTGTTGTTATCACAATATCCATTAACCACCTATAGGTAATGATATCAGTTTATTGAGTATTGAGTGATTATTACAAGCAATAATAGTAATACAAGTTTGTCCCCCTTCTCTCGCAATGGTGGGGGGAAAGAGAGGAAGTTTGAAGTACTTACCAATATCCACATCATTGATAAGAGCAGCACTCTGAGCCAGCACCTGATCCAGTGACATGTTCTTGTCTGGTTGCCCTTTTCTTTTTCCTGAAGTGTTTGAGGATGCTAAAGAGCATTAGTTATCATATTGACATCTGCGGGGTAACTTCTCATTATGGCACATTAAAATCCTCCTGGAATGTATTGCATCGGAATTTGCGTGGAATATGATAAAATTAAAATCAAATATGATTAACAAACCTTTGGAAGGGGGTTGGATCCCCTGGAGTGCGGCCAGTTCGGCCATCAAGGCCTCTTCGTCATCTTCAGGCATTTGAATGTTGAACATGTCAGCCAGAGGGTTTTTAGCCCCCTTACCTGCATCCCCTCCTGCACGGTCCTTGCGGGGCATTGCTATGCAAAGGGAGGCAGTTCACGTCATGACATTGCTAGTGAGGAATAAGTGGACGGGTCAGGGATTGGTTAGTTATTTACACTGCACGTTATATTTTTCACTTGTGGAATGTCGATAAGGGAGCTGGTATGTAAATTTAAAACGGGGGAAAACACACAATTTTCGAATAATTGGATAGCAAATGCCGTAAAAACTAATGATAAAATAACAAATTTTCAACTAACAAGCAAACACAATCTCGGAAGCTTTCTGAAAGTTTTAAAACACTATGTATATAAACAAAAACAGCTAAGTAATATTCTAAGAATATTATTTCCTAGTTAAAACGAAAATTAATAATTTAAAAACGCGTATAAAACGATTAAAATAACAATAACAGATACCTACGATACCGATAATAGATTACTTAAAGTTAACTATGAATAAATAAAGTTACTCAAACACTTTAGCGGCACCGTCAATGAACTTTGCCAAAGCAATATCTCTCTTGGACAAACCTCCACAATCATGAGTAGAGAGTGTAATATTAACTTTGTTGTACACATTAAACCACTCGGGATGGTGATCGACTTTGTCAGCACGGAGCGCCACGCGCGTCATGAAACCAAACGCCTCGTTAAAATCCCGGAAGAGAAACTCCTTGTGGATGGCATCCCGATCATTCTGTAACTTCCAGCCTGTTTCTGTAACAGCTGCGAGATCAACAGATCTCTGTTCGTCGTTGAGTTTGGGTACTTTAGCGGCGGACATGACTGTGGTGTGAAATAGTTGGTTAGTGGGGAGGCGGAAGAAGAGGGCTGGAGATAGAAGTTTTATCACAAACATGGGCACATCCTGTGTGTTGTGTTGTTTAAGTTAGGGGTAAATAACTCTAACCGCCAAGATTTAGGGGCGGATAATTTTTCAGGAAAATTTGGAAATTGCATCTTCGCATTTCTAGTATAATCTGTTACTTGGACACATGTAATGGCACTATATTTCATTATGGTAAGCGTGGGTGTCGATCAGACAGAGGATATAGCCAGAAAATGAAATTAGACAAAGTTGATGTTTATCAAAACAGTATCAAAAATGCCATTACAGAAGGATGTATATCATGGTGTTTTAAATAAAGAATACAGCTCCCGTCTCAAAATCAACAGATTTTTTAGTATTTTTTAGCACTGCTTTGCATCGCTCAAATAGTATCCACACGTAATAGTTTTAGTTCCGTTTAAGTTAAAAAATACAGCTCCCGTCTCAAAATTCTCAAATTGTTTAGGTCTCCCCAAACATATGGTCAAATCCTGTTTCCAGTTCAATATTAAAAAATACAGCTCCCGTCTCAAAATAATCAGATTGTTTAGTGCTCTCCAAACATATGGTCAAATCCTGTTTCCATTTCATTATTAAAAAATACAGCTCCCGTCTCAAAATAATCAGATTTGATCTAGAAGAAAAGTCTGAAGAGAACGATGGCAGCGGCAAGCAGGAAGGAGGATGTCTTAGCAACTTGGATGCCTCAAAATTAACAGATTTTGTAGTACTCCCCGTACATATAGTCGAACCCTGTTTCCACTTCATTATTAAAAAATACAGCTCCCGTCTCAAAATAATCAGCTTTCGGATTCCATTCATTGCTGTCAAAAATAGTGTTTAAAATACAGCTCCATCCTTTAAATCATCAGATTTTGTATTCTTGTAACTTTTAAGTAGCTCAAAATGATTTGATCACGCCCGACGTTTCTATCTCTTCTATTAACTGACACCAACTGCGGAATCCTAGCTTTTGCTTCCCCTGGATCCAGAAAAACCGGTCAAACAACCAAGACCAGGAGCTCCAAACGCAATTCACTGGCTTGTAGGCGTGATTCAAGAGGTCGCTTTCTGAGCACCGGCAGAGATCTATAACTGAGAAGTTGCAGCACAGTGTCTTCTTTCAGTCTCAACTTTTCATGTTTCCTAAAATTTTAGGGCATGAAATGTGTACATAAAGTGTAGTTCTGACTGTTAAGTCATCAGATGTAACCATGTTCAATTTCATGGAATAATAATATCTACTTGTTTAAAATTAAGTCCTATTAGATCAATGAATTATCAAAATGGTCAATGATGAATAAACTTAAATAATTTCATCGTTGCAGTAGACCAAAGAAAGTCGTTTGTTTTTCAAATTGTGACAAGTTTAAATCTTTACACAGCTCAAAGATTAATCGGAAAGGCTTGAAACCATTAAAATCAATGACTAGAAACAGTAAAATTTGATAAAAATTAAATTTAAAAGTGACCACAGGAAACATCAGCGACAGAAAGAAATACGGTCAGCTGAGAATGGTCTTTACCGGCAAATAAATTATCTGCGAAAGTATAAATATAGTGTTACAAATGTAGGAAACAGTCACAAACATACCCTGTCATGATATTGGTTGATAAGGAGGAACCCCAATTCTCAAAAGACTTTGGAATGTGAAATATTCGAAGAACCAGCGACGTGCGAATTATATCTGCGATTGTTATTTCTCCCACTGAACATATCGAAATTACTGCTCCTCAATTTGGACAGCGTTTCGTTTAAATTTTCAGCTGGCATTGGATCCGTCCAGAAGAAATCGTGGTCTAGTGCATCTTCTGAGTTGGCTCTTTTTGAAGGATCCAAAATGAAAAGTTTATCAAGTAAGTCCAAGGCATTGTGATCTCTGGCGAAATGTCGAAGTCGTTCTTTCAACTTTCGGGATTTGTTTTCTGGGAGCTGCATGTTGCGATAAAGGTCGAGTTTCGTGACTCCAGGCCAAACCTCCGGGGTTATCGAACCACAGAAGTTACAGATCAGGTTTAGTTGTTCTTGTTCGGTGTTACCCTGGAAAACCAAATTTAGTAATTTGAGCTGGACAAATATTTTTGGTTGAATTGACAGTTTTACAATATTGATAATAAGTTAGTGATAAAATAACCGGAAATTTGCTTTAAAACAGCGACAATAAAGTTTGCAGACAATCTACAAGGAGGATCATGGAATGTTGAATGTAGATATTACGATTTACATTCCGCACAACTCACAAACAACAACAACCGGTACCTGTACCTGCATGAGTGGGGTTCCAGTCCACAATTCAGCTACAATGCATCCAGCACCCCACATATCCACCTCGGGTCCGTATTCTCGCTCTCCCAACAATAATTCCGGTGGCCGGTACCATAGAGTCACAACTCTATTCGTATACTTTACTCGGTCTCTGAGGTATAATCACGTTATTTCTCATACTTAATAGTGGTGGGTGTAAGATGACAACTGTAGTTTAAATTTAAGCACGTGACAAAAAAGGTGGTACCGTTTCCTACAAGCACAAGCAAAGTAGCGCCATATTCAAACTGACAATACTTTAGATGACGATCGTTATAGTCCGTTAAAAAACCAACCTGAATGAAAAGGCTCTTGCAAGTCCAAAATCTGCCAACTTGAGGACGCCGCTTTTTGTTATCAGGATGTTAGCCGTCTTCATATCACGGTGTAGAATCTGAAACAAGATTTCGTTATTTCTATGAAAACTATAATAAATACGCGCGTTATGCGCGCCAACTACTGCTGACTAGCTACAAACTGGAAACCAAAACTAGCAATAGAAGACCCTGAATACATCGTTGTATAGTGTATACATCGTGCATAATTGTTGGCACGCTCACTACATTCATACCTTGTTTTTATGAATGTAATGTAAGCCATTGAAAAGCTGGTGAGCAATCCTCTTCTTCTCCGCGGAAGTGAACTTAACCTCTTGATTTTTGAGGAGGCCGGCCAAATCATGTTCACAAAACTCGAACACAAGGAAAATGCTTGGTTTGAACTTTCTCATCGCCTGAGCTTTACTTCTGCAGATTTCCTGGTATTGTAAGTAGGTTCAATCGGTAGAAATCTATAGAATTCTAAATGAAAAGTTATCATCCATTATTTCTATAAATGTGGCTTAACAATAAACATCTGCTTGTATAAAGGTGCACTTTACACAAAGAAAATAAACAAAGAACTAATAAATAAACTCACATGAAGGGTGACTATATTTTCGTGTCTCAACAGTTGAAGGATCTTAATCTCCCTCAGGGCTGTTATTGGGAAGCCTTCCTGTTCGTTGTCCATCAGAATCTTCTTCAACGCTACTGTCTTGCCGGGAGAAGCCTAAAATTAAACGAGATTTAAAACAAAGTCACGCTTCATTTATGTATAAATTGGAAAGGGACCCTTTACTGGATATTCAAATTGAATCTTGAATTATTTCGCCAAGTTAAAAATTGTTTAAAACGTTAATATACTCGACTTACATTCATTTCCCTAGCCTTGAAGACTTCCCCGAACGTTCCCTGCCCGATTTTGAAGATAATTTCATATTTAGAAACATCGTTACAGTACGGGTAGGAATAGTCTTTGTCGGGCGCCTCTGTGCGAGTCATCCCTACAAATAATTAGAATTCATTTTACTTTTAGATGAAATGTTGAGAATTTTATAGCAGGTGAAATAGGTTCCAGGTCCATGTTTTCGGTAGGAGGTCGATTGAAATAACAATTTTTACTTTTTAATTGCAATGATAGGATCATTTATTGTGAGAAAAAATATTGAAAAACGAAGACAATAATTTAGTTATACAAATAAAATAGAAATATATAATAATTCCCAATGGCCTTATGAGTTATGTACCAATTTTTATAAAAAATACTCTTTCAATAGATTCAGAAAGAGAATTCAACAGCTAAAAATAATTAACCATCGCAATAATTTAGAGACCCGGAATTTACCTTCAAAATATGGTTAATACATTTGTGTTAAATAATACCCCAAAATAACAAATCACAAATTACTTCTTCCAAAAGTTAGGATTATTTGTCATCCTAGTTTTAAATCTTTCATACCACTGGTTGACCGCACTGACTTTAACCCAATGCTCCGAAGAAGCTGTCATCTGCTGTTGAGTTACAGCAAAACTCGATAAATAGTTGTATAGGTTCTCTAACATTGTCTGAGGGGGAAAGGAATTTTATTTAAACATACTTTATGTAGTCTTAAACATACTTAAACATACTTTATGTAGTCTGATTAAATTAATTAGTTTGTACTTTTACAAAGACAGTAAATTTAACACAGAGTCAGTGTGTGGGGCTGGAAAACGTAACTCTGCCGTAAAAATCCAAAATTTTATGTGTACTTATACTCCCTACCCAACAACGAACAATGGCCAATACAGTATACAGTATACACAGCTTACAGTATTATATGAATACCAATCATCATCACACTCATGAGATTTTATCTCAAAACAGCATATAAAATGTATCAAGATTGAGGTCAGGGGTGTAGGAAAATCAAATTTTGAAGATATAATTACAGTAATAGCCAATAGGTCTCAAAAAGGGTGCAAAGAGGGAGAATCTGGAAAATTTTTGGAAAACTTGCTTCAAGGAATGTATTCTAGCAATGATGAATGTAAATTTGGGCTACACTTTAGCATTAAGGCAATTTAAATAATGCAATGGCGGATAGGCCAAATGAGGCCAAAAAAGTTGGCCCCTTTCCAAGATCATCCTTCCAGCCAGTGGCAAGTGGGGTGCCACAAGGGACAGTCCTAGGACCGATCCTATTTATCCTGTACATCAACGATCTGTTGAACAGCATTAGCTATAGTAACGGATTCAGCTTTGCAGACGACACAAAGCTGATTGGGGCTATCCGAGGAATGAGCAGTGTGGAGTTACTGCAAGATGATCTCAACATAGTCATCGAGTGGTCACGTGTTAACAACATGGAGCTACACGAACAAAAGTTTGAGGTTGTAAACTACCCCCTGAATGGATCAAAAGCTCTAAGAGAGCTCCCGTTCTACCCAGAGACTGTTGAGTATACTACACCAAAAGGACACGCAATATCACCACAGGAAACTGTCAGAGACCTTGGAGTGTATGTTAGCAGCAGTAGGTCATGGGGTCCTCACATTGAGAAGACAGTTCAAGGAGCTAGAAAAATGGCGGCTTGGACATTGAGTGCCTTTAGAGACCGGTCACAAGTAGTCATGCTGACTTTATACAAAAGCATGGTTCGCTCCAAGCTAGAGTACTGCTGTCCAGTCTGGAACCCTACAAAAGTCACAGAGATACAAAAGCTGGAGACTGTACAGAGATCCTTTACTAGAAAGATATCTGGCTGCCGTGATCTCCAGTACTGGGACAGGCTGAAGAAGCTTAAGTTGATGTCCCTTCAGAGGCGGAGAGAGCGTTATTCTATTATTCATGTATGGAAAATTCTTAATGAACATGCTCCGAACGATACGGGCTTCGAGTTCAAGTCTCATCAAAGGCATGGTATTAAGGCAGAGATCCCAGCCATGAACAAAAACGCACAGTTGTCGGTAAGAACAGATTACGACAACAGCTTTAGAGTTAGAGCAGCTCAGCTCTTCAACGTGCTCCCATCGGAGCTCCGGAGTATCACATTGCTAGACAGTTTCAAAGTTGGTCTAGGCAGATTTATGGAACAGTACCCAGACACACCACCGGTTCCGGGATACACTCCGACAAACGATAACTCAATGCTGAGCTGGAGGAGGACGCACTCGATGCAGTTGTCCTGAGCACGCCCTGCCAAACTCACCAAAAAGGTACCAAAACGTACGTACGTATTTCCTACACCCCTGACTAAAGGGCAGGATGTTATTTCGTTTCATTTGATAAGCAATTTAGTCTTCACTTTTGTGAAATGTGAATGCAGAAAGTATTTAATTTTTTCATTTATGAAAAAAAGTTTATAAACTCTGTGTATTATGTTATTCTTAACAGGAGCTGATTGAGACAATTGATCACTACAAGTTGGTGCTCAGCTGACCTCAGACTCTTTTGTGACACAATTCAATGAGTTTTCAAGTTTTCAATGAAACAATAACTCAATAAGTTATATTTTATATTCCTTTAATCATTGAAGATAACGCGGATAGAGCTGCATGGCGCTTCGGCTACTCACTGCGTACTGCAGTTTATCGTGCAGTTAGACAGGATAGGCCAAAAAAGTTGGCCCCTTTTCCAGATTTTATGAGGGGTCGCCCCCTCCCCCCTCTTCCTACACCCCTAATTGAGGTGGTACCTGAACGCCCCCCTCCTCTTCCTACACCCCTGATTGAGGTGGTACCTGAATGCCCCTCCCCCTCCTACACCCCTAATTGAGGTGGTACCTGAACACCCCCCTCTTCCTACACCCCTGATTGAGGTGGTACCTGATTGCCCCTCCCCCTCCTACACCCCTGATTGAGGTGGTACCTGAACGAACAGCACGTTAGAAGACACAGTAAGGGCGGAGCTGTCATTTGCTGCGGTAAGCTGCTCTATCTCGCTCAGCTGCAGTGCTGATATACCTGCCAATGTGGTCCTTAGTGGTGCTTATCTTGTCAAAAAACGTTTCTATTAAATTATCTTAACTCCGATTTATCTATTAATGAAAATAACCAGGATTAATTGCGAATTATTTGTTAAATTTCTATAAAAACTCCCTTTCATCCCTACCACAATTAAAATTTAATTAATTAATTAATTAAAAGTTGCTCACTAACCTAGTTGAGGTTGATTCCCACCAGCGCTCACCCCAAACATCTGACGTGAACCTCCCGGGCCATTAGCCCCAGATTTCAGTTGAGAAGCCTTGAATATGGCTGAGGGTTTGGAGTTAGATATGTAACCCAGGTATTGCCATGTGGGCTCGGGGTTGGGCCAGTTAAAGTAGATAGCTCCTGAGAGGGTGGAATGTGTGAGGAATGTGTGAGGAATGTGTGAGGAGGTGCTGAGTTTGTACAACAATGTTGTCTACAGATCAGCAGTGATCTGTAGATACAAAAAACGCAGTGAAAATCCAATTTTTTGGGGTTAAAATTGAGAGTGGATTCAGTGATCTAATTTTAAACTTGAACGTATTTGAAAAACTAAGATAACTTGAATAACTTGAATAATTTGAATAACTTGACATTACCTCCGTAACCCTCGGGAAATGGTTCCGACACGAAAACAACAATGTGAAGTGCACTGCTTGTTACCTGAAATTTTGAGAATTATAGTGGTTACTTTGCTTTGGATATTTAACAATTGAAAAATAAACCAATATTTTAAAACTTTTAATAAAGATACATACAAATATGTTGTAATTTGACATCGCAAATTCATTTTTTGGACTATTTTCCTATTACAGAATACAGCAGATAAATATTATTTTACGAATTCTTGAAAATGATAAACAGATGTCAATATTTCGAGTCCGTCTGGACTCTGGAACAGATAACTGAAATTCAGAATATCAAAGTGTCATTTAAAACAAGTTATTCTTCTACTTCTCAGCATTTAAGTTGATATTTCGTAATATGTGACTATATTTAATCTCTTTCAGTCTGGTAAGCTGACATAAAATGTTATGTCTTTAGCGACTAAGTCACGGTATTTAACATATGAGGTGACAAACTTTATTTATATGTCCGGACTCCTAGAGTCAGTTGATGTGACCATCTGCCCATAAAGTTGAACTTTCTAGACGCTCTGCAACGTTTTTTTCTCTCACAATTTGCCACCACAACGAATATAAAAGAATCACAAAGAATCGCAAAGATGGTTCTTTCGCACAACATCCTGATCGCTATGCTGAGTATGACAAATATGCTGAGCATGACAACTATGCTGAGCATGACAACTATGCTGAGCATGACACAATTAGCTCTTGGATACCCGGAAGGTATGAGCTATCTCAATCTATCTCCACCGTTATAGAGCAATCAGCATCCCAGCAATATTAAAATTAGAAGTTTTTATGCCTAAACTCGCGTTACAGAGCAAGTAAGTCTAAGAAATACTCATACCATTCTTTCAGGTTGGATTGAAGTAGGAAGAGGCCACAGACGAAACATAAGCAGATGTTTTCAAATAACTACTGCCTCAGAGATGGGGTCTTATCACAAAATAGACATAACTTTATTTGATAGCTCTGACGCTGACAACAACGCTGGAAGAATTGTTGTCAGCTTTGGACGTGAAATAGGTGTACGCCTGCCTGATTGTATGGATTCTTTCGAGAATATTTCCTCAACTGCACTGGGACAGTCCCATAAAATCAAAACCTGGACTTTCTACAGAACAAAATCCTCCCTGCATTTAATTCTAGATGGATATTATATCTTCCATTATTATTTTGTCACTTCTATAAAGGAGGTCTGCACAAGTATCTGGGGTGAAAGGCTTCCTGGTATGATCGTCTACAATGATACAGATACTGCATCCATCATGTGGCGTGTCCAGCCAAATCAAGGTATATGTAAATTAATAAATAGATAATAATTTGGATATAATATATAAATTGAAAAAGACGTGATTAATTTGAACCTCCAGTAGCCATTTAACTTGGTTCAAGTACAAGGAAAAAGGATAATTGATATTAGGAGGTTATCCACTAAAGTACCATCCAGGTTGCTCGGCATTTCCAAAAAGATGGAAACACGTACAAACAATTCCTGGCCGGTTACGAGGAGGGTCAGTACTCGACATTACGTGTCAAGATGATTACATCAACAAAGGAGGTATAAAGGTCACGTGCAACAACCTTTATTATGACAACTTCTATTATGATGAGGATCCTGACTGCGTTAGAGGTGGTTAAATCTTTAAATTCATTGTACAAGTTTATTACCTGGGTTGTTTTCAAATATAGCCCTCAGATTCAGACTGATTTTAGGTTTACGTTCCAGGTGGATTCAGGATTATTTATTTTATGACACTCTTCGTTAGATATAATATGCAGTTTCATTTTCCTTACCTGCAGATATGCTAATTTAGGAGTTCGCCTGTTATGTCAATATCTTATTTGTTTATTTTATATGATTCTACAGGACGTTGCTTTCAATCCGGTCCATCACAAAATAAACATCGGAAGTTATTTCACAACCCCCCCCCCCCCCCCCCTTATTTGTTACGAACTCACCGTTAGATTGGAGAGGAATTCAGTCTCCGAGACTCGTTCAAAGTTCGTGTTTGGCAACTGTCCAGCAATGATGTAGCCAAACATTTCGCATACCTGCTAAATGCTATACATAAAAGAGAGGCTTTCAGTGATTAATTAATGAACAGACGTGTAGTTTAAATCAAATATATGTAAGCTGCAATATCGTAATTTTTATTTTTCCAGCTCTATCATGTTTGTTAATCGTGGTTTAATATCAATTAAATTGACGAACCTACAAGAATTAAACAATATCTTTATGAAGAAATTCTGATGAATTAAAGTGGTTCACATGAATTTCATTGTTTAATTCTAAAACTCATCATAATGAAGAGGAACAATATTAATACTGTTAAAACATCAATATAAATATGTTTTATCGTCAGCCTCTGCAAGTGGTGTCACGTGACAGTGTCCACCGAATGATCTTTGTGCAATTTGATAACTGTACGAGTGGTGCGAAACATCTCATGCTATTCTACCCAAAAGTGGGTTCACCAAAATTCTTTGGGCATTTATTCTTAAATAGTCACTATTTCTTCCGACGGCAAAAATTGAAAACTCATAAATTCATTATTATTAAAAATTCCGATTGCTCTTTCTCAACCTTACAATTAAAATAATTAAACGCAGTATTTAACCTCCACCGGCAGTCCAATGCTCAATTTCAATTTATCCTTCCAACAATTCATATAGTGAAACTTTACTTTCTTAGAGTGTCTCGGACTGTTTCAACAAAAAATCTCGAATAAAATTAGTGTACACATCTGTAGATGTAGTACAGCTACAGGACACTGAGCTCAGAATCGGAGATGGCGTTTGTTCTTCAGAATAAACCTGGGAATTGCGATCAGTAAAAACAGCTTAAGTGGATCTGGTAACACAAAATTCTAAAACTATCATGGTAATTTAAAGTTAAAAAATAAATTAGAAAAGATAAAAAGAGACGAACTTGTCGAGATGTTCCCAGAATTTAAGTGCGCTGACAGAGTCCAAATGTCTCTTGTTTTTACTGACAGTCAGGACTGACACATCCCATTTGGTGATATTCTTTTCCAGGGGAACCTCCTCAAACTTCAGGTGGAATGCCTGCACTGAGAGGAACGGTTTAAAGGATTGGGAACCACTGCTCTAATAAAGCACGGAATTCTATGCAGGACTTGTTTTAATTGAAAATGAAAATCTCGAATACTAACTTTTAGTAAAGATGTTGACTGGGCTGCCATCTGGAGTGAGGCCGGGCCAGCCCTTGAACTGCCAGGAAGGCCCCGCGACAAACACAGCCACAACCCTCTCCCAGTCCTTGTGTTCGAGGCGCTGCAGGGGACAGTCTATTATTCTGTACGGGATCGTTACAACCTGTGGTCATGAGTGTTAGAATGGGGTTATGTTTGATCTGGTCAGAACTTATGTTAGAATATGTGTCGATACTATGGACGGAGTGGCGAGCCACTAAAAGTACAATATAATATTTTAGTACATGTTTTCCAGAATATTGACAAGGTTTTGATAATGAAGTGTGAAGTACAGAAACAGGAAACTGACCTGGTTTTCGCCAGTTGCCGGGGCTGCGTGACCTCTGAGTAAATTTATCTCGACCAAGTCTCGCTTGCGACTTATGGTCACTTCTGACTGCTTCCTGTATCCTTGTGCTTGCTGATCTTGAGCAGTGATGAATCTACGGAAATGCAATAATAAAACCATAATTGATGCAGATGCAATCATCACAATAATCTTGTTAAAAATATCACATTCATTATTAATTAATGCTTCCTATTTCCTTTTTTGTGATTCAAAAGATTTCTAATATTTTATATTTCTTACCGATTGTCCTGAAGGAATTCTCTGACGTTGTACAAAGTGATAAGGGAGCTGAGCGATGATGGAACAATTACGATGGGAGTTTTAGATTCTGAAATAATGAGATTTATTTTAAGTTAGAAATCGGTCAATAAGTTAATAAGTAATAACTAATAAGTAAGATATTATTACATATTTTTAATCTTAAATGATAATCCACAGTATATAATATATAGATCATATATAGATCAATAAACTAATAAAAACCTCGTTTCTGAGCTTTATTGGGTTTGACAGGAACTGGGACTCTGGAAACTTGTTGACGAGGTGGTGTTTTAGTATGTTGGGGTGTCCTACTTGGTGTAGCTGCTGATGATGACTTTTTCATACTCGCAAACCCTCCAAGAGTATCAATTTTGAATTCTTCAGTTTCCTTTTCGCCTCTGAATCGTTCCTGGTCGTATCTGCTGTATGATTTAGGAGGAAGTTGCTTCGTTTTGTCTTCAGTGTGAGATGCAACAGTGGTGTGAGCAGGTTTAGAGGTATCAGCTCTACTTTTTACAATAGATATTGACAGTATGTTTGTGAACGTCCTTCCTACACTCTGAAGAATGTTGTTTCTGTTCCTCAATATCCTCTCCTTACTGATGATATCACGAGTGACATCAATTTCGGACTCGATAAAAGCTCTGTTTTCCAAGGATACTGCCTCCATGTCTTCTTCGGGGACACCTCTGATGGTGCTACGCTTTTTGGCAAACCTCTTAGCTTTGATAGCAGCAATTGTTTCTACACTCATGGCTTCACTAAGAGAAGAGCCGACATCACCACTTGTTAGTGATATGCCACCAATCACGGGGTCAGGTCTAGTTGCATATCTTGCAGCCAGAGCAGTTTTCTCTTGCAGGATTTGACTCTCCTTGTGAGATGCTTCGATCTTGGCTTTTTTGAAGTCTTGAGATTCAACATGGTCTCCTGGTCGCTTAGAAGGAGCTGCACGACTAGCACCAAGTTCAAGAGGCGCACTTTTATCAATACTTGCTGAAGTGTCTGTATCCCCATTGAGGTAGGCAAGCAAAGCTTTACGATCCACACGATTAACAACAGGTACTTTTGCTGCTGCAGCTTTTTGGACATAGATAGGATGGGGAATACTAACATTCTTTAGCAGGAAATGAAGAGCTTCTAAAGTATAATAGTCCTTTGCATTACTTTCGCCAGCTTTGTAAACCATGTAATTGGTTTTTACATTTTTGAGGTAAGAAAACTCTCCAAATATAATCTGCTCATTTGTTTCAGTGACATCACGTTTGTTGATGTTGAATTGACGCAATAATGTCAGAGGATCAGCCATGACTACTGAAATTGTTGAAAAACATTAGGTTACTCAAAATTCAAGTTTTAGAATTGTTGGAAAATCTGTTTTGAAAAGGTATTAAGTTTACATAGAAAACAGGAAACTGAGATTAAAATTTGGAACCATCCTACTAGTCGAAAGATTTGTTCGAGGAAATTTTAAAAATCAGTTATGTTTTAATTTCTCTTCATTATCTTGATCTAGCTGAGCTGTACTGTAAAAATTATGGATTTTATTAGACAATGACAATAACTTTGTGAGTATTCGGATTTCCTGAACAATACTTATTACTTCATCAAAAAATATCGATCACAACCAAAGTTATGAATAGTCATGGAGTGAGCATAACATGCCGTACGTGTGCTTGCTCGTTTTAGCCTTGTTTAATCGGTTTATCTAACTTTAAAGACATATTAAAGACGTTACATACTTTTTATTTCCGACTTTAAAGCGGACTGAAGCAACCAGGAAATCTACATTTAATAAAATTACAACGATTTTATGTTTTAAGTGTTATCTGGAATATAATGAACATATCACTCTCTTTGTTACATTGTGCAAAAATTTGAAATTTGGAAGGATGTAGGGCGTAGGCCATAGGGGTTGAGATATAATATCAATCAGAATTAGAATTAGTAGAAATATTCCAGAAAAATTGTAACTGCAGATTTACAGAACTCTAAGTGTTCAATGAATATCCTTGCAGGTACCACCTTTATTCACACTCAGTATTGAGTTGGGCCATTTTCCAATACAAGATTGGGAACATGTTCTAAAAAATAAACAAACAAGAAGGTGCCACGCTGAAATATCCTGAATCTAGTAAGAGTATTCTTTAGTAGACATACACTGGTGTGTACTGTAAATTATATTAATTTGGAATTCATGATTTATCCACATTTTAAGGATTTCAAGATGGTGTCAACAAACAAAAGTTCGCTGGAACTTTTCCTGTCGATTGTCAGGTTATCCCCTTACAGCAATCTGGGCAACTGTAGTCACTATACTAGGTCTACTAGGAAACACCATCGTCATCTTCTCTTCAATTCGATATAATGCAATCGAAATGGATAAAATTTCACTTCTCTTGACACGTCCAGAATCTGGCAGTTGCTGATTTGCTATATATCCTCAGCAATATTCTGCCCTCTGTGGTGACATACATTGCCCGTAGACATGTCCTAGGAAAGATATACTGCGTCATAAGTGCACAAACGTCATTCATCTACGGCCAAGTCAACATCCTCACTATCTTAGTGACTATCTTTAACCATTATAAAGTATGATTAGTCGGATATCATTTTTTCCCTGCTCTTGCCGAAGGCAAAAGGATCGTAGGGAATAAGTAATCGGGTTTGGATATATGAGGTGGCCCGACGGTCCTACGTTGACGACAAAAGTCTGCTCCTTCGCAATATAGACCACTCCCCTATAATCATGAGTATAGGAAGCGTCTGTTATGCTGCGCACGACGCTCGGCATGTGTTAGTTAATTGCAGTATCCAACGCGAATTTCAATTGTCAAACGATGCCGTTCAAACTAAATTAGCCCAAAGTTTGTGCGCGGCGTACTAAATATTCGATTATCCTGCACGCGCGCAATAACAAATTACGATGAAAATATTGCAACTTTTTAACAACAAAATAATTCAATATCTAATTTTTATTGATCGATAAAATTATCTTTTCGTTTAGTTGCAAATGTTAACGGTTTAAGCAGGGAAAATTAATCGTGCGTGGTGTAACCGCGGCGAAATTCTTGTTTTTTTTCAATGAAACATGAAATTTAATTTTAGCACATTTTACAGAATAAAAATATGTAAAACAATTCATAAAATATAATGCCTATTTGGTGTATGACTTTTTGTCCTTGACTGCTAGTTTGGGTTTGGAAGGACAGGTAACTAACGGGGCAAGGAATGCGCGTGCCTGAAAGCTTTTGCACACACCGAAACGCTAGTTCAGTTAGGTTTTTAGAGACAAGGCTCATATTAGGACTAGAAGAAATTTTTTAGTAGACATTAGGGGTTCTGTTTATAATAGTTGTTACTATAGGTTGCAGTCTTGTTGTGATAAAAAGTCTACACTAAAACATACTTTAGTTTATATTGTGTAGTTCAAGGATATAAAATGCAGCTTCATGGTGGATATTGGAGAGCTGGCGAAAGATTATGGCCTTTGTGTCAATGGTTATAATAAGCTATAAATATCTTAAACTATAGGTACAGTGTTAATTAAAAATTTCTTTATACTTCATTCTCAGATTAAATTTAATAAATTCAAAAATATACATTTATTTTATTAAAACTTTCTCACACATACAGGGTGGGCCAAAAGTCAGTACCCATACGTTGGCCTTAATGGCTCCGCTGTGTTTTATATTTGAGAGCTGTTGCTTTGCAGATGGCATACTGTACTTACTGGTTCGAGGATTCCGTCGTCAAAATTTGAAAATTCGAATATTTTAGACCACGCCCATTCAATATTAAAACACCTATATTGTTTTCTCTGAACATGCTGAACGCCTAAGTTTTTCAGAGACGGTAGATTATCAAATGTTGCATATGATCTGAAAACATGAGGCAAAACGGATTAGAAATGACGAAGTTATCAAGCATTTTCTGTATCTCGTTAACAAAATTGACTGGGTGATTATGTGACACCGTGACACGACACTTCAATTGGGCACCCTTAACAATTCCCATAATGTTTAACGGGGTAGTTAACGGGGGCACCTTATCACGTGATTAGGTAAACCAATCACCTGATCACACGTAATGAATAAACTCGTTATGCTTCATATCTCGGTCATCTGAGAAGCTACAGTTCTAATTCTTTCAGGACAAACGTAATTCGAATGGCCAAACACAATTCAATAACATTTAGCTTGATCCGACTATCGAAACTATCAAATAAATGTGAAAATGAACCTCCATTTGAAAAAAATGAACGCGAATATTTTTCGAGTTGACAAATTCCTCGAACCAGTGGTGGTACTAAGTCATACCAGAAAGAAGTATTTAAATTGAGCACTCAGTGACTGAGCTATAAAGGCCAACGTATGGGTACTGACTTTTGGCCCACCCTGTACTTTACTCACAGGACAAGACTTGGAAAACAGTAGCTTAGGGAATTGGAATTTAATTGAGATGTGTGTGACCAGCCAGTTATAATGTTTGGAAAATAACATTTGTGCAGTCAAAATCTTTTATGGTCCAATCAAGCAGGGCGTGGTTATGTTGATTGGCTAATAGCGCACGTTTTAGCTTTCCTCGCAAACACATTACACTAGTAGTAAAGTCAGTCATTCTGAACTTTGGGGTTAAAATGTTTAAAATTTTGGTTGATCTAGTGTTGTGGTTGTCAGGTGGGTCTGCCTGACAGATTAGAAGGCAGGGTTTCCTTGACGAACATGTGTAACCCTCATGTAAGGATATTGGGGCACGGAATTTCATTATCTTGTAGAGCTCCAGGTAACTGTGGTATGTATAGAGATTTTGTATAGCTAGAATATTATTATGCTTGAATATAGGTTTGGTGTGCTCTTTTATGAAAAATTTTTGGTCAAGTTTCTGGTGTCCTATAGGCCTAGTACGTGCACAAGTCTTAAACTTATCAAGGTACGCCAGCCTATCACCAAATAGTACTCTGAGACAGTACTTCTGAGCAGTAAATATTGAGCTTATACGTTGCTTAGCTGCCCCACCCCATACAGATATACAGTAAGAAAGATGTGATTCGAACAGGGTATAGTATAATTGTTGATGTAGAAATTCTGGAAGGGAGCAGCGAAGTCTACATAAAGTGGATGTGGAATGATTTAGAGTTTGCTTAAGAGCTTTAATGTGATCTTCCCATGATAGGTTCTCGTCAATTATAACACCCAGAAATTTTGCGGATGAAACCTTTTTGATTGGAAAGTTGTCTATGGTTAGTGCAACTTCAGGGTGTGATAAAATCTCTGACTTAGAACCTGCCATGGTGGGTTTGAAGTGTATGTAGCAGCACTTGGACATGTTTATATGTAACTTATTCGCTCTCATATAATACTGTAATGATGACAAACGCTCATTTCCTCGTTCATATGCCTCACGTTTTGTTTTTCCGACAAAAAATATATTGGTATCATCAGCAAAGGTAACAAATGATCCTAGTTTAGAACTGTTTGTGATGTCGTTCATATAAAGAAGAAATAGGAGAGGTCCAAGAATTGAACCCTGCGGGACACCAAATTGAATAGATAGGGTATCTGATTTTTCTCCTACAACTTCGGTGTATTGTTGCCTGTTTGTCAAGTAGCTTTTTATGAGGTTATTTGCAACTCCTCTCACTCCACATCCCTCTAATTTTATAAGAAGTGTTGAATGGTCGATGGTGTCAAAAGCTTTGCCTAGGTCAATGAATATTCCTAAAACATGATTCTTAAGTTTAAGAGATTTCGTAATTAAATCTACAGAGTAATTAACTGCATGAGATGTAGAGTGAGATTTCCTAAATCCAAACTGTATCTTCGATATAACTCCCTGGGAGCTTACAAATCCGTATATTCTAGAATATATGAGCTTTTCAAAGATCTTACCAAAGACGGACAGCGTGGAGATAGGACGGTAGTTCTCTATTTCTTCTGGGTTACCTTTCTTATATAATACAGGTGTGATTTTACCAGTTTTTAGGACATCAGGAAATATAACTTGGGTCATGAGGATATTGAAGTAATTCGATAATACAGGTGCAATTACATGAGATGACTTTTTTACTACACTTATGGGAATGTCACTGGCTTTACCATTTTCGAACTCGCTTATGATTTTCATTATTTCGTTCGAGGAGCAATCTTCTAGCCTAATATTTTTTTCATTTCTTGGGTTCAGGAAGTCATAGAAAGTTTTCATGGGTAATATAGGCAGGCCATTAGATAGATTATTCAGTGTCTCATTCAGCTTTGGTGCAATAGAGACAAACCAAGCATTGAATCCATTAGCAATTGCTCTTCTATCAACTATTCTTTGGTTATCAATGATAAATGGGAGCTTGGTCCCA